ACAACAACACTTATGAACAAACACATTTAATTTAGGTGAGATCTTGCATTTCAGAGGTTTAGTCCATTATCATCATGGTGGGGAGCATGGTAGCATGCATGCAGACATGCTGATGATTCTACATCTTGATCTGAAGGCATATATTATAGGATATGACTTGAACTTATGTAACATATATGGGACCTTAAAACTCACCTCCACAGTGACATACTTCCTCCAACAAGACCACACCTACCCCAGCAACCCACACTTCCTAATAGTGCCACTCCCTTTGGGGGCCGTTTTCTTTCAAACAACCACAAGCCTGCATGCTTGAATTAGCTTTTATGTTTTCTAAATCCTAAATTTCCTTTAATCAAAAACTTTCTTCTGTACCTCCTGTCTTTTTTGTTTTTTCATTTAATGAACAAACCAAGTTCCTTGGTCTATTATCATTCCCAGAGTCTCTATTGGTTTGGTTTATATTTCCTCAGATCAGTCCGTAGGCTCAAGCAGTTCAGGTTGGTAATTCTTTCCTTAGGAAGCACATGGTATTTGATCATCTTTCTTCTTGTAATATTAGCATCATTGGAAGAGCTATGCCTCTATCTGTTTTATTGGATTTTAAAGCAATGACATTCTATTTGTTTGCTTGGTATTGCTGGGTTGCTCCCAAATTCATATTCAACAACTATTGCTATTTAGACCAGGCCTAACTGCCTAGGAATAACATCATCCTCAGTGAAGTGGCTAGACCATTTCATCGGTTAACTAGAATGGTTTTCTAAAAAGATTTATTTATTTTTATTTTCTGTGTATAAGTATTTCACCTGCATATATGTATGTGTATTATGTGTATGCCTGGTACCCTTGGAGACCAGAAGGGAAAATAGATTCCCTGGAACTGACGTTAGAGATGGCTATGAGCCACTCATTGTGTGGGTGCTGGCGATTGCACCCAGGACCTCTGGAAAAGTAGATGGTGCTCTTAACTTCTCAGTCATTTCTCCAGCTCCTAGAATGATTCTTTTCCTTGATTTACAAGTGCTATTTTATTTTTTATTGTGTTTTACAGTGCTGGCGTGGAATCCAGTGCCTCACACATGCTGCACAAGTGCCCAAATTTTCAGTTTCCATTTACTAATCAGTGCCAGCAACTGACTTTTGCTTGTTTTGATACAATTTAAAAATTGTGAATCTGCTGTATGTAGTGATGTATGCCTTTAATCTCAGGACTCTGGAGGCAGAGGCAGGTAGATCTCTGTGAGTTCAAGGCCTGCCTGGTCTACAAAGTGAGCTCTAGGACAGCCAGGGCTGTTACACAGAGAAACCCTGCCTCATGGGGGGCGGTGGGTTACTCTTCTGTTTTATCTCACATTGCATGTTACAGTTACAAAATGACAGCCCCGAAATCACATACACAGAATGGTTATAACTGCTCTTGGTTTCCCACAGTTCTCTTTGAACTTGAATGTAACTACAAAACATAGTCAATTACTGTCTTCAAAGCCCTCTAAATAACTGATAAGTGTGTTATATCATCAGCTTGGTATGGACATGTTACCAATTTTATATTTTAAATCTATAAAAATAGAAAGGTAGGGACTAGAGAGTTAGCTCAGTGGTTAAGAGCACTGACTGCCCTTCCATAGGACCCAGGTTCAATTCCTAACACACACGGCACCTCAATTGTCTACAATTCTAGTTCCCAGGGGTCCAGTACCCTCATCCACATAGATACAAGAATGCACAGAAAAAAATAAATCATTAAAAACAAAAAAGGTTTATTTTATGGAGTCTGATCTCTGTTCCTCTCCTCCCTTTTTCCTCTATCCTTTCTTGAAAATATTTTAAGGATTTATTGAGTTATTCCTTTTAAAAAAGTTAAACTAACAGTGAAGTTTTAAATATATATTTATATTTCTCTTTTTTGTTTTTGTTTGTTTTTTTTTTTTTTAAGACAGGCTTTCTCTGTATAACAGTCTGGCTATCGTGGAACTTGCTTTATAGACCAGGCTTGCCTTGAATTCACAGAGATCCACCGACTTCTCCTTTTTCTAAATAATGTCCCTTGCCTTTTAATATTTCTTTATGTCACACACACACACACACACACACACACACAAACACGAGAGAGAGAGAGAGAGAGAGAGAGAGAGAGAGAGAGGAAGGGAGGGGGAGGGAGGGAGGGAGAGGGGGAGGGAGGGAGGGAGGGGGTGGGGGAGGGAGGGAGGGAAACAATGCAAGTCTGTGTGTGGAGGTCAGAGGAGGATATTAGGTATCCTTTGTCACTCTCTACTTGATTCTCATGAGTAAGGGTCTCACTGTCCTTGGAGCTCAACCGGCAGCCAGCAAATCTTAATGTTCTCCTATGTCTGCCCTGGCATCCGCATAAATGTCCAGCTTTTATCACGGGTGTTGGAGATAGGAATTCAAGTTCTCATACTTGTTCACATATTCTTACCTGCTGAGTCATCTCCCCAATCCCTCTTTGCCTTTTGCTGTTGTTTTGCTTTTTGTTTTTTGCCCTTCTTAAACAGGCCAGTGTGGTGTTCATTATGTATCCCATACTGGCCTAGAACTTATGGAACTCTTGGGTCAGTCTTCCAAAAATTAGTGTATGTGTAAGCCTCTTTGCCTGAACTATCTTGCTTGTTTTCACTTAAGAAGATATCCTGATACATAGCATAGTGCAAATGCCTTTAATCTCAGCACTCAGGGACAGAAGGATCTCTGTGAATTTAAGGTCAGCCTTCTCTACACAGCAAATTGATGGCGACTTAAATGGTTTCTATTTGTTTTAATTTTTTTATTTATTTATTAAAGATTTCTGTCTCTTCCCTGCCACAGCCTCCCATTTCCCTCCCCTTCCCCCAATCAAGTCCCCCTCCCTCATCAGCCCAAAGAGCAATCAGGGTTCCCTGCCCTGTGGGAAGTCCAAGGACCACCCACCTCTATCCAGGTCTAGTAAGGTGAGCATCCAAACTACCTAGGCTCCCACAAAGCCAGTACGTGCAGTAGGATCAAAAACCCATTGCCATTGTTCTTGAGTTCTCAGTAGTCCTCATTGTCCGCTTATGTTCAGCGAGTCCGGTTCTATCCCAGGCTTTTCAGACCCAGTCCAGCTGGCCTTGGTGAGTTCCTGATAGAACATCCCCAATGTCTCAGTGTGTGGGTGCACCCCTTGCGGTCCTGAGTTCCTTGCTCGTGCTCTCTCTCCTTCTGCTCCTGATTTGGACCTTGAGATTTCTGTCCGGTGCTCCAATGTGGGTCTCTGTCTCTGTCTCCTTTCATCGCCTGATGAAGGTTAATATTCAGGAGGATGCCTATATATTTTTATTTGGGTTCTCCTTCTTATTTAGCTTCTCTAGGATAACTAATTATAGGCTCAATGTCCTTTATTTATGGCTAGAAACCAAATATGAGTAAGTACATTCCATGTTCCTCTTTTTGGGTCTGGCTTACCTCTCTCAGGATAGTGTTTTCTATTTCCATCCATTTGCATGAAAAATTCAAGAAGTCATTGTTTTTTACTGCTGAGTAGTACTCTAATATGTATATATTCCATACTTTCTTCATCCATTCTTCCACTGAAGGGTATCTAGGTTGTTTCCATGTTCTGGCTATTACAAACAATGCTGCTATGAACATAGTAGAGCGTATACTTTTGTTGTATGATAGGGCCTCTCTTGGGTATATTCCCAAAAGTGGTATTGCTGGATCCAAGAGTAGGTTGATCTCGAATTTCCTGAGAAACAGCCACACTGCTTTCCAAAGTGGTTGCACAAGTTTGCATTCCCACCAGCAATGGATGAGTGTACCCCTTTCTCCACAACCTCTCCAGCAAAGGCTATCATTGGTGTTTTTTATTTTAGCCATTCTGACAGGTGTAAGATGGTATCTTAAAGTTGTCTTGATTTGCATTTCCCTGATCGCTAAGGAAGTTGAGCATGACGTTAAGTGTCTTTTGGCCATTTGAACTTCTTCTGTTGAGAATTCTCTGTTCAGCTCAGTGCCCCATTTTATGATTGGGTTGATTAGCCTTTTACAGTCTAGTTTCTTGAGTTCTTTATATATTTTGGAGATCAGACCTTTGTCAGTTGCGGGATTGCTGAAGATCTTCTCCCAGTCAGTGGGTTGCCTTTTTGTCTTAGTGACAGTGTCCTTTGCTTTACAGAAGCTTCTCAGTCTCAGGAGGTCCCATTTATTCAATGAGGCCCTTAATGTCTGTGCTGCTGGGGTTATACGTAGGAAGTGGCCTCCTGTGCCCATGTGTTGTAAAGTACTTCCCACTTTCTCTTCTATCAGGTTCAGTGTGTTCGGACTGATATTGAGGTCTTTAATCCATTTGGACTTGAGTTTTGTGGGTGGTGATAGATATGGGTCTATTTTCATTCTTCTACAGATTGACATCCAGTTTTGCCAGCACAATTTGATGAAGATGCTCTCTTTTTTCCATTGTATACTTTTAGCTCTTTTATCGAAAATCAGGTGCTCATAGGTTTAATCTCAGCACTCAGGGACAGAAGAATCTCTGTGAATTTAAGGTTAGCCTTCTCTACACAGCAAATTGATGGCAACTTAAATGGTGTCTATTTTTTTTATCTTCACAGAGTGGATATATATTTTTAGACACTTTTCTAGTTTTTTTTTTATTTTCTAAAAGTGGGAGTGCTTGATCCCAAATAAAATAATACCATCTTATTTGATGCTTTCAAATTTCTGTTTATAGTTTCAGTGTTTTAACATTCCTATCAGCAGTGTCTTGAGTTTTGTCAACAAAGTATAATATGAGGTGTTTTTTGTTTGTTTTGTTGTTGTTGTTGTTTTGGGTTTTTTTTTGTTTTTGCCCACCTTTGGTAAAAAATTGTGTCTCTGTACTTTTTGGCCTGCCCGCCCTCCCTTCCTTCTTTCCTTCCTTCCTTCCTTCCTTCCTTCCTTCCTTCCTTCATAAGAAATACAAGTGAGGTTTTAGGTTTTGGTTTTCTAATAATTCTGTTTTTTCTATTTATATTTTTCAGAGTCAATACAGATTTGTCTGTGAAGCTATTTTGAAAGTGTATGAAGAAGGCTTTGTTAAACCCTTAACAACATCATCAAATAAATAAGAAAACGAAAAGGTTGGGATAAGTATTGGGAAACTGATTTTTGTTACATTCACTGTGCCATAATACTGATTGCAGGAAATGGCATCTCTCACAAAAAAATGAAGAACTCAAACAAACTTTGAAAACTTCAGCACTATTGCACTTTATGTTTAAAAAAGTCACTCAAAACCTATAACTTCACATCTTTGACTATTTTGTGCTTTGCTCTGAACAAATAGTGGAAACTGAATATGTTCAGGGTAATTTGTGGAATTTTGAGGCGGTGCCATGCAGTCCCCTCTGGTAGAATTGCCCCAGCAAGGCTCAGAACTCATCTCTGTTACACACCTGTACCTTGTAAGCAAAAAGAAGTAAACATCAGGAGTCTGCTCTGGTCTTTCCAGTGGTTCATGTACTTACTCTACTGATTGCCAGATTTTATTTTTCAAACGTTAGCAATACCATTCTCAACATTAGCCAGTACACTGCCTGTGGATGCAGCACATCTTCCCTGACATCCCAGTAGGGACCTGCTGTTGAGAAGAAAAGTGGAACTTGGTTCCCAGGAAATGCTGCACAGTGTCCATTTACCAGCATCTTATAGAAATTATAACTATGAATCTATGGAATTTCTTGGATTTAATGATGTAACTTATATTTATCATAAGGTTGGCTTATTCCAAATCATGTGACTTCACACTTTTGATGTAAAGGAATGCATGCATCGTGTCTTAACCCCTTAAGTGCCTTGAGATATCTTTGTTTAATGAAAAGGCACTCATTTGACCCATAGGAGGTATGTATACTGTACATTACTATAGTTTTATGAATTTTTAATAGGTTCACAGTGTAAAAAAAAACAGCTTATGTTGAGAGTTATACAAGAAGTGTAAGGTGATTGTTTTTACTCAGTGCTTGCTTGTACTTTGCTGTAAAAGCCAGAATATCTGTGTTCTGCTGATAGTGCATTCTGCTGCTGTGGAATTGTTCACAATCTGTACATTCCTTTACTGAAGAACAGGGCTTAAAGTTCAGCAACTTGTCCTACAAAAAGGGTTTATTTTTCAAATTTCATATTTGCTTTATCCCTAACTTAAAAAGTGATCTTTAACATGTATATTAAAGATAAATATATTAACACTCTAAGCTACAATTAGAAAGTTAGTTAGTTGGGTTTGTTCCTGTCTATACCGAAGTGTTACCCTCCAGTACTCATTCCAGTTCATATCAGGCTGTCTTCACACTGGTCTTTCTTTTTATTTTTAGTTTTTGTTGGTTTTTGTGTTGTTATTTGGTTTGGTTTGGTCTTGATTTTTCAAAACAGCGTTTCTCTGTATAACAGTCCTAGAACTTGCTGTATAAAACCAGGTTGACCTTGAACTCACAGAGATCTGTCTCCCTCTGCCTCCTGAGTGCTGGGATTAAAGGTGTGCATCACCACCACCTGGCCACACTGGTCTTTTCATTGGAATTCTCCAGACAAAGAGTTAAATACTATTGACTTCTTCTAAATGTGACCCCCCCCAAAAAAAACAGTAAAATGCAGGTTTTCTTGTCATTTTTGTATACAGTTATATTACCTAGTTTATATTTATAGATGCTTATTAAATTATAAGCATGTTTAGTGAGGTGTTTGATTGTTCATCTTGACTGAAGATCCAGCTCCCATTACAGATGTGTATATTTTCCTTGTCAGCTTCATTTGTTTTTAAATCTATGGAAATAGATCTTTAAAATTGCCCAATTTAATATGAGAATTTGCTCACCTATTTGAATGTTATTTTATATGGATATAGTTAAAGTAGGCACATTTGCTAGTGGTTTCAGAATATTTCTGTAGTCTTGATAAAACATAGGTTCCAATAAATATTTTGGACTGCTATTTAGTTTGGAGGGGTAACATACTTTTAAGAATCTTTAATAAAATCTAAATTATCATATCTCATATTCAGAATTCATAATAGTAAAATTCAGAAAGAAGTTAAGCTCCTAAACAGTAATGGCCAGGGTACCATTGTCATTTACAAATACTATTTGTCTTATTTTTTTAAAGAGGCATAAACATAATCTTATGTCAAACAGAAGTCCACCTATTTTGATTTTATATGCAAGACAATATGAGCTAGTCAGTGAAAGATAGTTACACTCAAACATTCCATTCTCTACCAGAGGCAAATGTAATTTAGGCTAGTAGGATATCATTACAAGTTAAAAAGGGAAATCAAGTTGGAGATCTATACACTATAGAGCTACTTTATTTCATTGATAGATTTTAGTCTAAATTTTAAATGTCTGTCCTTGCCATATGGGTAGACTGTGAGAACCATAGGCAAAAAGAGAAAACTTGTGTAGAAGATAGAAGGCAATGGCATGATTCACTCGCTCTTTAATGGAAAGCTTTGTTCATACCTCTGCAGTTAACGCTGATGTTGGCAATGAGCATTGCTGCCATTTAAATCATTGATGCTTGTCGTTCAGTGACAAGTGCAGAATTAAATTTATATTTCTCATAAGGACTGTCCTCTATCATTATTTTACATGTAAAAACACCCCTTTTAGAACATTTGTTAGGATCTTAAGCTAAAATAACCCTTCACAAATTGTTAATATGGATATGCTAATTCAGCTTCCTTAGTTATCTAGCATAGAACACTGTCCTTTATACCTAAGCATTTAATCAGTTTACCAATCAAAATAGATTTCTAGAAATAATGCTAGTTTTCATACGTAAGTAGTGCTAGACTTCATACATACTGATGTAATATTGTGTGACAAAAAAAAAATCCTGAATTAAACTACTTTCCCTTTTCACTACCCACCCTTAAGACACACACACAGTGACAAAATCAAGAAAGAATGCATTTATTCTGACAAGTGGAAATCAATAATGATGGGTCAGGGGCTTCTGTACATGCTAAAAAGTAAATGTAAAACTTTTCCCTCTCTGAGTTCAGGTGATTTTTCTGTGCTTATTTAAAGTGTTTTATTGAATGTCTGGTTTTCGTCTGCACTGCCTAGATACCCTGTAATAATAATTTGGAGGAGACTAGCATTTGCAAAAAGAATAGGTTGTACTTGTTAAACTAATCTATCCATCCAAAAATGAGGCAGAATACAGCCCAAGAAAAACTTTTGTGTAGCCTTCTGGGTTAAGTAGTTGGGAAAGGGCAATGATTAGCCATTTTGACCTAAGAATAAGGGTAACATTGTATCAAAACTGACTAAAATGCACAAAGTTATGCTGAGCCATTAAGACAGTTACTTGAAGGTTTTAGGTACTACTGTACATGCCTTCATAGAAAAACACCAGTGCATTGGTTTGCATGTGTATTTCACAAAGACGTGTACACAGACGGAATGGACTTTTAACCATGGGGTTGTTTATATCGCTTGGCGGGTCTGATCAAGTCTACTTTGTTATTTGAGCAAAAAATCTCTTGTATCACTAGAAGTGGTACTACAACTTGAAAGCTATAAGAAGTTGAAAGACTTGTGTCTAGTCTCTACTTCCTTATGATAGGAAGAACTAGAGGCTCAGCAATTTATTTAACAGAATCTGGTCAACTTCAAGTTTTCTTTCTTTTTTTTTTTTTTTCGAGACAGGGTTTCACTATGGCTTTGAAGCCTGTCCTGGAACTAGCTCTGTAGACCAGGCTGGTCTCGAACTCACAGAGATCCACCTGCCTCTGCCTCCCGAGTGCTGGGATTAAAGGCGTGCGCCACCATCGCCCGGCCTAACTTCAAGTTTTCTAATTCTCAATCTAGTGTTTCTGTATTAGACTAGAAGTTCAATAAATTGCTTGTAAATTTTAGCTTTTTCTACCCGGGAAGCACGGTCAGTGTTGTCCCTTTGAATCTTTGACACCTTAGAAGTTTGATATTACGCTTCAAAAGTGATGCCAATTAGGGATTGGGCAGAATTTGCTAGGTGTGCGTCCCTAAGAGATGAATTTAAGCTGTTGTGAACTAGTGAGCTGACCTGCAAGTAGGAAGTCAGTCTTAAAGCATTTAGCACATAGAACTGAGATTTAGAACTTATATCTACTTACGAAATAATTTATATTCATAATGTGAACATGTGATAAAATTGAAGTATGGCTTATCAGGAAAAGAGAAGGAAACATGAATTTATAGCAGTATGCTATCTAGTGTCTGTGTTTTGAATATTAAAAATATTCTGATGGTAAAGTTGCCAAAGTAGTTTTGAATTCATGTAAGTTGTTTATACTACAACATTGTGGGATATGTTTACAGGCTCTTCATAGTACTTATTTTGTAGTTCTGATGAATTTGTATTTAAGTCATTAATAGTAAATATATGATGATAAATATTTGCTGGAATAAACATCTCAGTAATGTAGCAAATCATAAGTAATAGACCCCACAGTCTGCTTTCATACAAGGTGCTGCATCCACAAAGCGAGTACTTTGTGTTCACATTGCTCACCTCCCACATCTGCATCAACCCTCCACTGCCATTCCTGGAGCCATCTGTGGTGCTTCCTCCAAGTAAAACAGCTGTGTCATTACAATTCAGTGGATTGAATTTATTAAATATTAGAATTACTCATAAGTTGACAGATATTCACTTGTGTCTCAGTGTGATCACAAACTAGTGACTTTTATGAAATTCTTAGAGAATTATTATACACATAAAAGAAATTTGCATAATAAATCTTTTTGAGGGCTAATTGCTTATAGATAATTTCATCAACTTTAAGAGTATAAGAAATCAGTTCCAAAATTGTTTTGGGTTCTGCTTTTTACCATAATTCTTATTTTTCATGGATTTCATTTTCTCTTAGTAGCAGTAATTATAATAAACTTCTCTATGTTAACAGAAACAATAAACCATGTGTTCCAGCCCATACTGCTTTATTTTCATACCCTAAGTAAATTTGTTTTGAGTAGATACCATAAAGTTACTTTCTATTTTCATATATAAATGTGTTGCTGCTTACTTTCTGTTTTTGTGCTTCAATATACTGTTGATTTCTAAAGTCATTGTTTGGTTTTTAGTCCTTCAAAGCTAAGTGTGCAGTCATTACTCATAGCTGCTTGACAGCAATTTATCTATATGAACTAGGTATGGTTCAGTACATAATCAAGTAAGCCAGTAGTACTTTTTCTTTGCAGAAGGTTATTAGCAATATTGCAAGGTGAAAACTACACTGTTAAGGAAGAGTTCAAAAGTTTAGCTTCCTGGAGCCTTGCAAAATTTCCAGTATAAGGATGAAAAAGAAAACCTTGTTAAGGTCATAAAAGTTTCAAGTAAACATTGTAGAGTTTTCCTATTATTATGTAAATGATATACAGAAAATATTTTTCTATGAACAGAAGGTTAAAACTGTTAACTCTAATTTCATTGTTTAAAAGGGATAAAACGATGTTTGTATGTCTTTCATGCTGTAAAGAAAATGAATGTATCTTTCAAACATTAGCGTTATTACTTGGTTCTAAGTATATGTGTTTGTTTAAAAAGAGTGAGTGAGAAATCTGCAAAGGAGTAAGAATCGTGTCATAAGTCATTATGTAAAACGCAGTGTTGGAAGAAATGGAATTTCGTTGCGAATGGTCACTGTCAAAGCATATTTCACACGTAGTGTACGTTCATTCCACATTAATTTGTTTTTGGCTCTGCAAGTTTTCCTTAAAAATTGTATACACTATTTTGAGTGTAAAGTATTTTAGTTCTCCACTGGTGGGGTGTGGAAGAATGTGTGTTAGGCTCAGTGTGCTGCTGCATGTGTCTACCATGGAGGAAAGTTCCCAAGTTTGTCAATGTCGCAGCCACCAGTGGGGGCATCATATTAAGAATGTGAAGCTAGAAACCCATGCCTAAGAGCACTTCAGAAATTATGTGCAGAGGCCTCTGACCCTGATGATGAGTTTCCCTTTTTCTCTTCATTTACATGGATAGTAAGACCACGGGGCCCAACCCTTGTGACTTCTAACCGTGGTGGCTTATACAGCTTACAAGTTTATTCAGCTAAGTGAAAACTCTTCACTTTAAACCAGTGCCTGTAGGCATAATTAATTCGTTAAATAGCTCTTTTAAAATCTAGTAATTATCAATTATTAAACTTTATGAAATTGGGAATTCCTTGTTTTAATGTTTTCTAAACCTCCATAATGATTTTAACTCATCATGATGTACCCTGAACAATCTAAAAGTAATCCAAGGTTAGTGTCAGATTTCCTCAACCCCAGAGTTATAAAATTTGGCACTATTAATTCTGGTAACTTATAAGTTACATTGTTAAGTAAAGTTGCTATCAGGGATCATCAAGGAAATAGCTTTCTTCAAATAGTTGCTGCTTTGTGGTGTCCCTAGATTATATGTCATAGCATCCACGATTGTCATAACTGGGCCTGTTTTACCTTTTTTAAGTATTTGTTTTCTGTTCTTAAATTATAGTATTCCGTTTTTTTGCCTTCCTGGGCAAGGATGTTTCAACCCAGCTCTGTGATTTCCTAGATTCATCTTTCCCAATCTTTCAGTGAGTTAGCAAGACTCCTCATTCCTGAATCCTGTAGAGTAGGTAATATGTAAGTGCTAAAATTGATTTCAAATAGCACTTTATTTTATGCTTACTACTGACTTAATTTATACAGTAAAAATATCTATCCTAGGAGTTTTGTAAATACAGAAAAAATTGGTTAGTATTAGAGTTTATTAGATTGACCCCAAGTTTAAATGCTTTATAATGATCTCTTTATAGCTTCTTTGATATTTAAGAGGTAACATATGTGACTTTAGCTCTGTGATTTTTTTTTTCCTGCAATTTGTATAATACAATAGATGCTGCCTAGCTGACTGTGTTGCTGGACTCAGTTCTCTCAGCTAGCTTCAGCCAAGCTTGGTTTACTAAAATGGTTTCTGCTCTGCATTTTGTGAACATCACATGACTACTTGGAAATTCTTTGTTCTCAATGTAGTACCTAGATGTTAAGTAGACACTGCACTACAAGTATGTAGTTTACATAGAAGACAAAGGGCAGAATGTGTGATACTGTACAGTTTATATTAAGCTGTTTTCATATTCTGTCAAAACAGTATATCTGCTGTAAAAAAATAAAAGTTGTCTACCCCAGTGTTCTTCAGCATCAGAACATACCACTTATGAACTATGCTGTAATCTTTTCAGATAAGAAAGCTAGTCCTTGTTTTCTACAGTGTAGGTTTAACTTTAGGACTGATAGTTCATACTTATCAGTACTATTTCTAAACTGTAGTTTTAAAATTATTTCTATGTAGAGGGAATTTTGATTTGGGAACTTTCTTTTCTTGTTATAGGTGCTATATGTAAATATGGAGTGAGAAGTTTGCTTGGTTAAAAGTCTACTTTATTTCCTTATTAAAATATTTTTATTTGTTTCCATTTGTTTTGTGCTGAATGAATAGCAGAATGGAATTAGTCCCTTAATGTTGTCAAGTACCTTTTCTCCCAGTTGTACAAGAATATCTCCGTATGGTGTGGTCTCATTATCAAGAAGCAAAGAAGCTAAGAATCAAAACTTAAATGAATTTGATCAACACTGGGTTATTTGAAATGATCACTGTGCATTTGTTACTGCGGTTTACCATGTGTTTGAAAGGCCTTGTGTGTTTGTCTTAATTTCAGTGAAAATTAGAATCCTTTATGTTTTTAAACAATCTACACAAGCCAACAGTGAACAGGATAAAAATGCTGTTTTGCATTGAAACTGTTTTAGTCCTAACATCAATTTATGTTATGTGAAATGCTATTACACATATTTTGTTGGGCATATTTCATTTTGATTGAGTAGTTGTTCAGATACAAATGTGAAAAGGGGAAAACACCTCTAGCTGTTAATGTTCAATTGAAAAATAAAGGTGTGCTTTAGTAATCTAATGACTTGGTTTCAAGTTTATTGAATTGGAATTTATTGTTGGACTCCATTATCGATGATGTAGTCACTAATGAATGATCAGTTAGAAGGGATGTTTGAATGCTAAACATGATTTTGTTTCCAGAATTAGTAACACACATAGTGGCTCTTCTTGAGGGAACGGGGAATGGTATATATGTGTGGTGTGTGGGCATGTACATATGCTGAAACAGCCACCTATGCTCAGACTTTCAGAAGCCAGGGGAGGGCATCTGGTGGTGTCCTCTATCAGTCTTTACCTTATTCTCTCACGGAACCTAGAACTTAATGTCAGCTAGACTGGCTGGCCAGCAAGCTGTGCTTCCTGTCTCTAGCAACCACAGCATGGGGTTGCAAGCATACATACCTGTACTCAGATTTTTACATGGGTTCTGGGAATCCTAGCTCAGGTCCTCATACCGGAGCAGTAAGCATGTTTTTTGTTTTGTTTTGTTTTGTTTTGTTTTGTTTTGTTTTTCAGACAAGGTTTCTCTGTGTGACAGTCCTGGCTGTCCTGGAACTCACTTTTGTAGACCCGGCTGGCTTTGAACTCACAGAGATTCGCCTCCTGAGCACTGGGATTAAAGGGATGAGCCACTACTGCCCAACTGAGCAGTAAACATTCTTACCCATTGAGCCATCTCCCTACCTGCCCAAAGAATAAAAGTATCTGCAGTCTCCTTCATTGGGGCCACACCTCCTCCACTAACCCCAAGGCAGGACCTTGCCACTCAAAAGAATTGTCTTGAAATCAACCTAAATTATCATCTTCCCAGGTGCAGTCTGGTGTGCCATTTTGCATATTAGAGGAAGGTTAGGAGTAAAGCTTCAGTTTCGGTTTGGTTTTGATTGGGAGGGTTATTTGAGTGTTTTGTTTTTATAGGTAGCCTTGGCTTGCCTTGAACTTGATCAATTGCCTGCATCTGCCCTTAAAGTGCTGGTATCAAAGTGTTGTACCACCACTCTACAACCAATAACTGTTTCAGGTACCTATGTGTGTGATAAAGGACTCATTATGGCAAAAGCAGGTACAATGACATAGTGACTTGTGCCTGTAGTCCCAGCTACTTTTACGGCTGAAGTAGAGGATCACTTTAGGACAGCAGTTCAGGGCTAGCCTGAACTATAGAGACCCTGTGTCTCAAATAAGAGAAAAAAATTATGAGATACATTTTGAGGAAGACTGAAGATGATTTATGGCAATCTCATACCAACTCCCCATCTCTGAGAAAAGCCCCCTCAAATCTGGTGAAAAGTGCAGGCATGGAATCCTAGTACTCAGAAATTGAGGCAGGTGGATTCAAATTGTGTGCTCTCTAAGAATCAAAGTCAACAAGGTCCAGGTAATTCCTGGAATATTGGGAGTTATAGTTCTTGGAGAAATAAAATGGGAAATACAGTGGCCTTATGGTTTTGTCTTTAAAACACCCTACAACATTTGTCTCATAGCCACTCCCCAGGAACCAGATGTGGATCTGACCAGAGTCCCATCTTTCTGGTTGTAGTAAGAGGAGCAGTGGGCTAGCTTATACTCCGAAATAACAACACACAAATTGTATTCATTTAAACACTGCCTGGCCCATTAGTTCTAGCCTCTTATTGGCTAACTCTCACATCTTGATTCAACCCACTTCTAATAATCTGTTGGCCACTTGACTGTGGCTTACCTGGATGAGTCTAACCAGTGTCTGTCTAGGGCAGGAGAAGCATGGCATCTGCCACACTTCCATTCTTCCCAGTATTCTGTTCTGTCTACTCTGCCCACCTAAGGGCTGCCCTGTCAAAAGGCCAAGGCAGTTTTCTTTATTCAACCAATGAAAGCAACACATAGAAAGAAGACCCTCCTACACCATCTGGTCAATACTTAAAGCTGGCTTCAAATTTGGTTCAAAATTGTGTAACTGGTTTTCCTCACACAAGTTTCAGATTACCAGCAACTCTGAGCTATATGAACCCTTGTGGCAGTGGAAGCCCCATCATACCAATGATGACCTCTGTTCAATTATATTTTCTTCTGGGGAAAACATGTATTTGTTTATACATAAATATTTATGCTTGCAGTATTATATGATATAGCTTGCAACTTTTCATTTTTCATTGTGGAGTATTTCCATGTTAGCATATTCACATCTATCTCATTCTTTAAAACATTATTTATTTGGGGGGTGAGGGTCATGAGTGACCATGTATGTACTTGTACAGCACTCATATAGTGGTCAGAAGAAAACTTGCAGGAGTCAGTTCTCTCCAATGTGAGTCCTGAGGCTCATGTTTGGTGGTGCCTCTCTTGCAGAGCCATCTCACCAGCCCCATCTCATTCATTTTATTCTGTTGTCATGTGGATGTTGCATAATTATATTTTACAATTAGTATATTTCTGTGTGTATCTACTAGGTAAGCTAGATCCCTGACCTGCTCCCCCGTTTTGAGACTAATCTTACTTCAAACACTTATACCAGGTAGCAGAAATGACACTGATTTCTTGGTATTGTCCCTAATCAGTCGGGAACTTCAATTTTCACTCTTTCCACCCCAAAGCCCCTATCCCCCCTTGCTGTGGGTAGAGCTATGTGTAGTAACCAGCTGTTGCTCCATTGGCCCCAGCTAAGGTGCCTCACAGGTGACTGGCAATATCCTGGCAACACGTCTGGTGCAGAGAGAGCTGTTCTGCCAGGCTTAACCTGGTGCAGGTGTGGTCAGTGCCAAATCCCTGTAAATGGTGTCTTCTGGGTCCTCCCTCTACACACACTAATGTTCTGGCAAGATCCCATGAGACCCTCATTCCACACCCTTTCCCTTCACACACACCCCTTCTGCTCTTGTTCCTTTCCTTTCAGTTCAGCCCTTGAGCACATCCCCACAGGCCTTTTGCTCTTGCTGTTTCTTTGGCTCATCCAGGAGGTCTACTGGCTATCTCCTCACCTACTTTAGGTCTGAACTCAATGTCACTGTCTTTAAGAGGCCTGCCTCCTTGCTGAATTTGCAGCTCTTCATTTCCTGTCCCTACTCCCTGCTATTAATTTTCTCTTTAGTGTTTACTAACAGCTAACGAACCATGTGTATTGAATCCAGAACACTTCATGTACTCTAGTAATGGAGCTATATGCAGCTCTTTCTTCTTCTTCTTCTTCTTCTTCTTCTTCTTCTTCTTCTTCTTCTTCTTCTCCTTCTCCTTCTCTTCTCTTCTTTCTTCTTCCTTCTACTCTTTCTCCTCCTCTTTCTTCTCCTCCTCCTCCTTCCTTCTCCTTCTTCAGATGGTGTTAGGTATATTGGTCTCAAATTTCTGGGCTCAAGTGATCCTCCTGCCTCAACCTTAAGAGTACCAAGGACTACAGGTACACTCTGCTACCACACAGGCTTGATCATAAAATAAACTTGTTTAATTATGACAGAACCTCAAAATGTAATCTAAAGTGCCCTTGATCTCACTATTGAGCCTCCCACAGGACTAGAGTTTTTTGTCACCTTTGGTTGCCTTGAGGGACTTTTGTCTTTCTTCTTTATCTGTCCTATCTCCAGGGCCTACAGCACAGCAGGCCTTTTGATTATCTGAAGAATGAAGGAATGGAATGTTGCCTTTCCACTCAGGACCTCCCTGACCAAGGTACCTTAATCTTCAGCCTGTTATTTCTCTTTCCTAGCTTTGTTTTTCTCCAGGACACTTATCACCACTTGACACATTTATTTACTCTCTTTCTCCATTATAGACTGAAAGTTGCTTTAACAGTAAAGGCTTAAATCCACTTTAATCCCTAGGAATTGGGGGTAGGGAAGCAAGAAAACATTCAAATAAGTACTTACAAATGGATGAACAACTGGATAAGAGAGAAAAATATATACCAGACTACATTAAAAATAGAAACATCTTATTTATTTTTGCTGTGCTGGGGATTGGATCCAGGATTTTGTACTAGTCTAATATCCTACCACGGAACTGTATCCCAAACTCAACATTTGATTTTAAATTATATAATCAAGGAAGTGAACATTTGCTGGGTGGTGGTGATACCCACCTTTAATCCCAGCATTCAGGAGGGAGGGGCAATCGGATTGCTGAGTTGGAGGTCAGCCCAGTCTACAGAGTGACTTCCAGGATGGCTCTGAGGGCGCTGGGATGGGACAAAAAACAAAAACAGAATACGAGTGGGGGAGGAGAGAGAGAGAGAATGAATATGGGAATGAATATGGGAATTCGAAACATAAAACCAGAAGCTCAGTGGGTAAAAGTGCTTACACCCAAATGGGTCAGTTTGAGTTCATTCCCAGTACTCAAGTGATAGGAAAGAACTAACTTTTTATCCTCAGACCTCCCCACACTTGAACTGTGGCATACATACACCCTTCCTTACTCACTGCACACATAGACAATGTAATTTAAGACAAGCTTTTACTATGTAGTCCTGACTGTCTTAGAACTCACCAGGCTGCCCTTGACCTCATCAAAGATTCTCCTGCCTCTGCCTCCCAAATTCTGGGATTAAAGGTGTGCATCAACATGCCAGGTATTTTCCCCTCTTTGTTGTTTTATTTTTTGATTAGTGAACCAGTGTAGCAGCCAGGTTTCCAAACGCCTAATAGGGCCCTCTGAATAAGCCTAAGTTTTGTGTGCAAGTGCAACAGGTGACTCCTAAACTGTAGTTTCCTATTTCTCTTGGCTCCACCTGGCGTCGCCTGCTTAAATTCCTTCTCCGGAGGCTGATTTCCGGGGCGGCGCCATCGCCCCTTTAAGAGCCAAGCACCCTGTCCTTCGGGGCGGGGCTTGGGTAGGGCTTTAAGGGGCGTGCCCGCGGGCGGCCGGGGTCCTCCGGGGATTAGCTCAGGGTGGGCTCGCCCCTCGCGCCGCCATTTCTCTGCATTTTCGGAGACCCGTCCTCCCGTCGGGCTGGCTGGGCGTCTGTCCCCAAGGGTCGCGCGCGCCTGTCGTCGTGGTCTCGGTCGCTACACGGTCTTCACCCCCCAGGAAAGGTAAGTGTGGCCCCGGGTGTCCAGTTCGCTCCGCTCACGGAGCGTAGCCTGCGCCGCGCGGGGTACGCGGCCCGGCTCCCCGGGCGACGCCGCGGGCTGGGAGGGGAGTGGCGGCGGCGGCCAATGGGGCTGGGCGCTGAGTTTCGGGCGATACCGAGCGGCGGCCGCCGGGGGCCCTGCGCGTAGCTGGGGTCTTGGGCGTCGCGGGAGGAACTCTGTGCCCCCCTGACCTCCATGTACCCGTGCGGTTAGGCGAAGGTCTCCTCAAGTGTCAGCTCGTCAGGATCGTGGGTAGACGCACACCCGAGGGGACGTGCAAGCTTGCTCGACCGACTGAAACTCGGGAATCGCGTGAGGCAGGTGCGTTCCCGGGAACCGCCAAGGCCGAAGGCGCTTCCCGCCCCCACGCGTAGCGCGCGTCGGGTAATGATGGGTCCTCGGGTGGGTAGCAGATAATTGTGTCTGTGTCTGTGTGGTTACTGCAGTCTCTCGGGTTCTGCTTTAACAGCGAGAAGACCCCAGTCTCCGAAGTTGTTTGGCAATAGTTTAAAATTACTAGTAGTGTTTTCTTCGTAAGAGTTAGAGATTAGCCCACCAATAAATCCTTAACGTAACTCACAGCTACGCTAACCCCAGTTGCAGCATAAACTGAGGCTGAGCCTCACTTACTGCAGTGGGTTACTTGTATGTGTCTCCCTGGTCGCTTCAGAATCTTTTTAACACCCCCCCCCCCCTCCGCCGCCGCCTGTTCTTTCTTTTCTTTTCATACTGGGAACCTAATTCGCATTTTGGAGCTCACTAGGCTGACCTAAATCCTTAAACATGTTTTTTGTTTTGGGACTTTAACTTGTTTGGGAAAATCGATGTGCGGAATTTTCCTGAGTTTAGTTTCTCGGTTACGTTTTCTATTGCGGGAGATAACTGGGATGAAAGATACTGGTGCCTTTAGGACATTTTCTGTATGTTGGCAATATTACTGTGGAAAAAAAAAATCAGTGGCTCGCCCCAAGATACATGTGCTTTACCGCTCAGGAATGTCCTGTTGGATACCCACAGTTCGATCCCTAGCACTGCAAAAAGAAGAACCAAAAGGGGCGGAGGTGCAGTTGGCCTTCAGTGCTGTATGGTGTACGCAGACATGACAAACTTGAGGAGGAGGGTGGGTAATGCAGTGCTTGGTTAAGTAGGAAATTGATTGTTTCAGTTTTCGTTCTGTGATTGAAAAGGAAATTTATTTACTAGAAACTCCTGGCCCCAGATTTTCATTTTGTTGTATTTTACAGACAGTGTCTCTCTATGCAGCCCAGGCTCACTTGGACTGGGATTATTTTGTTAGTCACTTTTATTATCCTCTTTTAGGATTTGCTCTTCAAATAGTACCATGTTCTAATGTATTTTTACCCTATAACATTGGTTTTTTTTATTGATTGTCTAACATGTATATCATGGCAAACAGTTTGATCATCCCTTACAATAAACAAGTCAGCCGAGGTCCCTTCCCTTGTGCAGGGAGGGAGACTAGCCAGTAACAAAAGTCAATTAAATATTTAATTACAGTTTCTTTCCATGTTTTTTAGAAAAGCCCGTGTACTAACAGGGCCATCAATTCCAGCCTAGGGATCAGAGGGTGCTTTTCTGGGTGTAAATACAGAGTTAATTATCTAAAGAGGGGAAAGAATGGGAGATGAGTGGACAAAGATTATCCCAGAAAGATGAAGCCGCTAATGAAGAAAGTTCTGGAATTAGAAATACGCACTAGAGCAGCTACAGCAAATAGCTAGAAGGGCGCCTAGGTCCAGAAGGAGGAGCCAGAGCTGTCAAAGATTTCAAAGGGAATCCGATTTGTGGTGGTTGATAATCCACCCATCCACCAACTGGAGCACTGAAGACCTGGGGAGGGCAGGTGGGATGAGGAAACAGAAATGGGGGGGGTACTTTTTTTTTTCTTAACTCTCAATTTTTTTTTTTTTTTAAGATTTAGAAACTTAAGTCACACATCCCATATATTCTTATGACCTCTGGATTAACTCTCTACAGAGAACACCTTCCTTAAATCATCTGCATTTTGTAGTTTCTATGTATGTGTCTGAGGATGTATGTGGATTATATCTCAAAGTATTATAATATCCTTTTCAGTTTGCACTTAATTTGATTCTTCACTTATAAATTTAGTCTAAGACATGTTGACAGAGGTTTCTGTCCTTCCCTATCCCACAGCCATTCAGTCCCAAAGAAACACACAGAGGTCTACATTAATCATAAATATGTTGGCCTATTAGCTCAGACTTCTTATTAACTCTTACATCCTACATTAATCCATAATTCTTGTCGGTCAGCCATGTGGCTTGGTAGCTTTTATCAGTGAGGCAGTCGATTCCTCTGTGTCTGGGTGTAGACTGAGTCTTTCCTCTTCCCAGAATTCTCCTGTTCTTGTCTTCCCACCTCTACTTCTTACCTGGTCACCCCGCCTATACTTCCTGCCTGGCTGCTGGCCAATCAGCGCTTTATGAAAACAGTACAAGACCGTTGTCCCACAGCAAAGACAGGTTTGGTTTGTATCACTATGTCACCTTGACTGGCCTGGAAGTCTATGTAGATCAGTTTATACCATCACTCACTGAACTCTTTGCATTATGATAAATGTATGAATTTCTTAAGTCAGTTAGGCTAAGAGTAATTTTGTTCCTGTGACTTAGAAATAGAATTGCTGCATATAGCCTATACAATTTAAAAACTTGTTCAAATAGGATAGTGTGTGAAGATGTATAGAAGCATTCTGCCTCCTCTTCCCTGCTGCATGGACATCCCACCAGGGACCTCGCCTCCACTGATGTGTGTTAGTCCATACGTGTGAGTATGTCAGAGACAAGCCGTAGGAACTCTTCCACCATTCTGTACTAGGTGTACAGGGACAGACGTCTTTTTCTGGACTTTGCTTGTGCAGTGCTGGACATGTCAGGGGCAACCCACTCTACTTTTTTTTATTTATTTTTTATTTTTTGGTTTTTTGAGACAGGGTTTCTCTGTATCTTTGGAGCCTGTCCTGGAACTCCCTTTGTAGACCAGGCTGGCCTCAAACTCACAGAGATCCTCCTGCCTCTGCCTTCTGAGTGTACTTTTTTTTAAAAAATTCTTTTTATTGATCTATGTATTTTTCTCCACTCCCCTCTCTCCCTCTCCCCTCCCCTTCAACCCTCTCCCATGATCCCCATGCTCCCAATTTACTCAGGAGATCTTATCTTTTTCTACTTTCCATGTAGATTAGATCTATGTAAGTCTCTCTTAGGGTCCTCATTATTGTTTAGGTTCTCTGGGATTGTGAATTGTAGGTTGGTTTTTCTTTGCTTTGTTTCTAAAAGTCACTTATGAGTGAGTACATATGATATTTGTCTTTCTGAGTCTGGGTTACCTCACTCAATATGGTGTTTTCTAGATCCATCCATTTGCCCACAAATTTCAAGATGTTATTTTTTTTCTGCTATGTAGTGCTCCATTGTGTAGATAAACCACATTTTCTTTATCCATTCTTCAGTCGAGGGGCATTTAGGTTGTTTCCAGGTTCTGGCTATGACAAACAAAGCTGCTATGAACATAGTTGATTGAGCACATATCCTTGTGGCATGATTGAGCATCCTTTGGATATATACCCAAAAGTGGTATTACTGGATCTTGAGGAAGGTAGTTTGTAGTGATATGAGCGGTGGGTCTGCGTCCCCGGCACCCGGCCGCCCGCATGGCTGGCTTATGCCCCGAAATAATTACACGGAAATTGTATTCTTTTAAACACTGCTTGGCCCATTATATCTAGCCTCTTCTCGGCTAACTCTCGCAGCTGGACTAGCCCATTTCTAATAATGTGTGTAGCACCCCATGGTGCGCTTACTGGGAAAGATTCAGCATGTCTGACCTGGTGGCTTGCTTCATTGCATCTGGCTGGGAGAGGGGAGCATGGCCTCTGTCTGAGGTGTCTTACCTCACTTCCTCTTCCTCCCAGCATTCTGTTCTGTTTATTCCTCCCACCTATGTTTTAACCTATGAGGCCAAGCAGTTTCTTTATTACTTAACCAATGACCTTCCTCCATCAGTAGTTTCCTAATTTTCTGAGAAATCGCTACACTGACATCCGGAGGGGTTGTACCAGCTTGTATTCCCACCAGCAATGCAGAAGTGTTCCCTTTTCCCCACAACCTCTCCAGTATAAGTTGTCATCAGTGTTTTTGATCTTGGCCATTCTTACAGGTGTAAGATGGAATCTCAGAGCCGTGATTTGCATTTCTCTGATGGCTAAGGGTGTTGAGCATTTCCTTAAGTCTTTCAGCCATTTGAGATTCCTCTGTTGAGAGTTCTCTGTTTAGGTCTGTACCCCATTTTTTTTATTGGATTATTTGTCCTTTTGGTGACCAATTTCTTGAGTTCTTTGTTATTTTGGAGATCAGCCCTCTGTCCAATGTGCGGCTTTTACTTGTTTATTTTTTATTTGAGACAGAGTCCATGCTGCCTAGGTTGGCCTAGAACTTGCTATTGGCCAGGGATAATCTTGCCCCTTCTGCCTGCCCAGTACTGGGAATACAGGGTGTGCCACCGTGCCTGGCTTCTATCTGATTGTTTAGTCTCGATCTTTTACTATGTAGTGATGGGGGGTGGGCACACTTCATGCCAGTTGCAGATTTGGATCTCTCCTTCCAACTTACGTGGGTTCTGGGGATCCAGTTCAGAAGTCAGGGTTTGTGTCCAGGATCTTTACTAACTGAGCCATCTTACAAGCTGTCTTTTTTTTCTTCTTCAGTTTTTGTTTTTTTGGTACAGGACTTCCATATGTAGCTCAAGCTAGCCTGGAATTGGCATGTATATAGGCCATGTTAGCCTAAAACCCAGAACTTTCCTGTTTTAGCCTTCCAAGTGCTAGAATTATTTGAGGCTTTCTTATTCTCATTTGAGATGTCCTTTTTTATGTTACCCATTTTCTTCTATTGGGTTGTTTATCTAGTTAATTTGTTTGTTTTTGCTCTCTGGACTTCTAATCTAGGGCCTCGTATATGAAAGGTAAGCACCTGATCACCAAGCTGTATCTCTATAGAGATGATTTGTAATAAGGGATAAACTATACAATAATCCTTCGAAATACCTTTTTTCAGAAATTGTTTAAAAGTCCTTTATTATTCTATTTCTTCCTAGAACTTTCTCCTTTTTTGCTTGAAACGTATGTTATTTCACGCTGTCACACTTCTATGAAAGGAACTTGCTATTCTTCACAGTATTGGATTTATTGTTGAATGAAACAGCAATCGAAAAGAAAGGTGTTTTTCTTTAACTCGATAGACTGCAGGAGCAGTTGTTTGTCAGTGCCAGAAAGAAGGTGAGCGTTAGAAAGGCAGTTTATAGTTTCTTAGGAGATGCATTTATAATGCATTTGGAATCTTTTTCTTTTAAAAGTCTTCTGTGATAAAAAAAAATTAGGTATATAAATATCAAAAGAAAAATAATGATTATGCTCTCAAGTTTTTTTGCAATAAAGGGTAAAAGAATAGTTACCTGATTATAATAAAAGGTTCAGGAGAAGTGTGATTATAATGACTAACATAACTATCAGGGTGTTTTTCTGTGGGTATGAAGGAGCTGGGTTAAAGGAAGTAGTAAGGGTTCATTAAACAGAGCTTTAGAAGTCTAAGGCCCACAGGGAAAGGAGACTGGGGACCTATTAAAAACCACAGAGCGGGTAGATATAGCTGGTCAGCTCTTCCAAATTTTAGTTCTCTCCTTGGGTTAAAATCTAAAATACATGTAAAACATTATCATAAAATATATTTTTGGTAATCTTTAGTTCGTGGGTATTTAAATTTGAATGTAGTAGTATGGTTTTAAAGTTACCCTTTTAAAAACCAGATCAGTAGCCACATCTTTTCATTTGGAGGCTTTAAGGCTTTAATAAAGTAGCTCTGTCTGGAATTCTGCACCTCCTCTCCCCTCTCTGAGCTGTTAGGTGAGCTGAGAACAGCTCCCTCCATACTCACCCTCTCCTCTGGCAGCTCTTCCTCTGGTGGTAGTTACTGTAGAGTTATGGTAGAATGAGTGTCCCACAACATGGTGCTGTTTGCTGTGGATCCCTGTGTATGCTGAGGCTCTTTTTCCTTTCCTATAATTTTTTCCTGGAATTAGTAATTGTACATAGTTAACCTTTACTTTTTCAGAGTCTCTTAGATGTAAACTAAAGATACTAGGTTTACAGAGGAACTTAAAGGGTTTGCATTGTATGTGTTTCCATATGTGTATTTAATGTTTTCAGTTATAATGTGCAATCTTTTAAATATCTAGTAGCTAGTTTAACTATTTGTTTAATGTTCTTAGTAGAACATTAAGCATAATATTTGACAAAACAGGGGTTTAACTTTATTTGTACTTTGCTGAAATAGATAATTACTTGTGTTTTGAATGTACAGTTAAAAACAGCCACCGAGAGTCTGCCTCAGCAGTGTCTGGCACTGCTGTATAATGTCTGTGGGGCTATTATCTACCTTAGGTACCACTTACTGGCCCAAAACATTTGTTGAACGTCACGAATGATTGCTTTCTCCTGCTAGATCAGCTCCTTATAAAAACTAGACAGAAAGTTTCAAAAGTTGCAAGCATTGCTCTATCTTAATATTTCTTTCTTTCTTTTTTTTTGGGGGGGGGGTGTTCGAGACAGGGTTTCTTCGTAGCTTTTTTGGTTCCTGTCCTGGAACTAGCTCTTGTAGACCAGGCTGGCTTCGAACTCACTTTTATTTTAAAGTCTAGCTTTAAAAATTATTTTGACATGAAAATTGAATGTGTTATATGCAATACACTTTGAACTATGTATAAGAAGGTGATGTGTTTTAACTTTTTCCAGAGGGCTTTTTCTAAGTACCACCATTAAGTTGACTACAAGTCTCCCTCACTATCAATTTCACTGCTGGTTTTGTAGTGGCAGAAATGCTGAGCTTCCTGAGAAGAACGCTTGGCCGCCGGTCTATGCGTAAACATGCTGAGAGGGAGCGACTCCGAGAGGCACAGCGTGCTGCCACGCACATTCCTGCAGCTGGAGATGCCAAGTCCATCATCACGTGCAGGGTGTCCCTTCTGGATGGTACAGATGTTAGTGTGGACTTGCCGGTAAGTAGGGCTTTGTTAGCTGCCAGCTGTGTGTGAGATCACTGCTGTCCATGCTTCCTGGGGGTTAGGCAAGATAGGCTGAGTGGATCAGGCTCTGAGCTACTCAGGTACACCGACCTGTGGGCAAGAGGACCTGGGATTAGTGGCAGCTGCGAGAGACATTGAACGATAGGGCAGTTTGGGACTGTGCATGTACACACACTTGTGTGTTTATAGGCAGGATCTCACTGTGTAGCTCAGGTTGGCCTTGTCTCAGCCGCCAGGTGTGGCACAACAGGTACGTGCCATCAGGCTTGAGATTCAGAACTATTTACAGGTACCAAATCTCTTACATCTTTGTTCTGTTTCAAAGACTTCACAAAACACTATAAACTATGTGATTTTTGACACAAGCTTCATTGAATGTTTCTTGATGTCTGCCATCCTATAGACTCTTTCCTAAAATTCAGTTTGAAAAGTCTGTTTAGTAAACTGATAGCTCAGTGTGGCTGCGGTGCGAAATTGAATAAATTCTGAAAGACCTTAAATTCAGATGTTTAAACTGAAGCTTCAGGTTCAGACTTTCTTAGTTTTCATTGGTGGTAATGGTTTGTCTTGTTTGTTTGTCTTGTTTGTTTGTTTGAGGCAAGGTCTCAGTATGCATCCCAGGCCTTCATGAAACTTGGGGTCCTCCTGCCTCAGCCTTCTGAGTCCTGGATTGCAGGTGTGCTCGCCATGCCCAGCTCTCTAGAGGTGTCTGCAGGTCATCATCATGGTGTGGCTTTGTTATCTAATGTATGTTAGACGGCATGCTCTTAGAGTTCGTGATTCTGTACACTTTAAGGTATCTGAATTTTCTTCCTGGAAGGGCTGGTTGAGGGTTTTTGAGCTATTCCAGCATGAGATGCTTAGGAAGGATAGTTTTACTGTTTATTTTTTATTTGTTAAGAATCTTGAAGAGTTTGTGAGTCCATTTATTAGATACTTTGTGGAAAGCATGAGATTGCTATGTGAGCGCCCGGGAACAATTCATTACCTAATGTTTGAAGTATGAAGTCTTAGGGCTGTTGATGGGTAGGCTGATGCTAAGAATTTCTAGGAAAGAATTTGTAAAGGGCGGTGTGGTGCTCTTGAAGAGCAGCAAGCACTCTTAGCCCCTGGGCTGCCTTTACAGCCCCAGATTTGTTTATTTTTATATGTATGAGTGTTTTGCCTACATTTGTGGCCAGTTGAATCTTGATAAGGGTACCAAGACTATTCAGCAGAATATTTTTCCCCAACAAATGATATCTACGTGTAAAAGAATAAAGTTGAACTCTTTCCTCATACTGCATATAAAAATTAAGATAGCTCAAAAGATATAAACATAATAGACCTTTTGTTTGTTTGTTTTTGTTTTTCGAGACGGGGGTTTCTCTGTGCAGCCCTAGCTCTGCAGTCCAGGCTGACCTCAAACTCACAGACCTGCCTGGCTCTGCCTCCTGGGTGCTGGGGTTAAAGGCATGCATCACTACCAAGAGTCTAAGTAGACACTGTTTTGTTAGGATAGTCGGGTAGGTTATGATTTAGTGGCCAAGCGTGTGCTTACATGCGTGAGGCCCAGGCTTTAAACCTGAGCACCAAAAACCACAGTAAAAAACTACTTACACTCAAGTAAGAGGGCTCAAATGGCAGATAATAACAAGTACTGGAGAAACTGGAGAGATCAGAATCTTCTCCATTGAGACTGAGAGATGTAAAGCAGATGCTTTAGGAAACAGCCCACGGCTGTTCGAATGCTAGAACACTGCTCCCTTGTAACTAGGTGTTCCCACTTTCCAAGATACCCAGGAGAATTAAAGACATGCTTGCATGAAAATGTGTATTGTTTGTAATAGCAAAAAGGACATCAGGATGGATAGGTAACTTCAGATCGCTAGCCATAAAAGAAATGAAACTGATATTCTGTAACAACCTTGATGACTCTTGAAAATGCTGTGCTAGTGAAAGAATCAGCCACAAGAACCACACACTGTGATTCTGTTTTAGAACACGGAGAACTGTAGAAATGAAAAGGCAGATTAGTGGTTGCTTGGGAACTGGCAGACAAGTGTTGGAAACTAATAGCTATAGGATATGGAATATCTCTTAGGAGTAATGAGAATATCCTGAAGTCAGTTGTGATGCTTATACACACCTGCTGTGTGTACTAAAATCCGTTGAATTACTTATTTGGGTTGTTTTTGAGGCCATGTCTCTCTATATAGAACTAGCTGGCCTGAAACTCACTGTATAGAACAGCCTACCCTCATTCTCACAGACATTGCCTGGTCTGCCTCAAATGCTGAGCGTAAAGCTCTGTACCACCACAGCTAGCCGAAATCACATACTTAAATCATGGGTGAATAATAAACAAAAGGTCTACTATTTCAATTAAGCTTTTGTGTTTTTAACTTCTACCCATCACAAAATAGAGCATTTTTTGTGAATATATCTGTTTTACTGCATATTAGTTTTGGGTTGTTGTGTTTTTGTAGCCAGGGAATATATTTAAAGTAACATTTAGTTGTAATTATGATGATAGACTTGATTTGGAACAGGGAGAAGCTAGAAACCACTAAAGCAGTGTAGGTACAAGGGATTGTGAGATTGCAGAAAGGGGAATGTTTAGCACACGAGCCCGGTGAGGGAAGGAGCAAGGATGAGTAGTGAGCACACTGTCACTGGGTCGTGTTCATAGTGTGGACAGTTATGAGAGTGGTCACCTGTCACAGGGAGGGTGGAGAAAAGCCCTGCACAAGGCATGTGTTAGTAACTGGGTTTTAGAAACTAAAAGGAATTCTCAGTGGTAGTTCAGTTCTGAATTTTCTATAGTCCTTTGAACATAGCAACTGCTCTTAACGTTTTAGTTGTTTAACAAGTACATGAAGAAGAAGAAGGGAAGAAAAGCACAGCAGCTAGAAAATGGTTGAGCAGGGAAACCCTCAAAAGAGGTAGTGGGTGACTCCTAACAGGATCTTCAAGACACAGCAGGACTGATGTGGGATGCACTGAGAGGAGGAAGTGGAGTGAAGCCCCACTCCTAACCAAGACAGCTAACAAAGAGAACCTCATTTTTGTCAATGGATTATTATTGGACATATTAACTATACTCCAGAAGAAGCCCTGTGTCAAGGATAGTGGGCCAACACAAAACAAACTCCATTGTTTTCTTGTTTTTGTTTTGCTTTGTTTTTTGTTTTTACATTTTGGCATATTTTGTCTCACTTTTTTTGTTTTGTTTTGTTTTGCTTTCATTTTTGTAGTGTTTTTTGTTGTTGTTTGAGATAGATAACAAAACTGGGTGGGGAAGGTCTGGGAAGGAGTTGAAGGAGGGGAAACATGATCAAAATATAGTATATGAAAGTTAAAAATTATAAAATATAATTAAGAGATCTAAAAGAAAAGAAAGCCCTGCAGATTTGCACACAGGAGGCATTTTCTCTTCTCAAATGTCTAGGTTTGTATCAAGTTGATAAAAACCAACAACTAACACGAATGCATTGAACCAGAGTTGATGAGATTCAAACAAGACATTGTGGGAGAAAGTGTTCTCTCTGTGGCTCGGAGGATGACACCCGGGCCAAGTATAGCCGGCTCTGACAGACACAGTGGGAGAGTGAACAAGCTATGCTTCGGAGGATACTTTGTTCCAGTCTGTACTTTAATCTGTAAATAGTGACTAATAAGGGATTGTGAAGAACAGGATAATTCTATTTAATAATTCTACATCCCATGGGTAGTTTGTACCACTTGATCTTCTGACTCTTGCTTGTCTCCAGTCTTTTCTTTCCCCCATGCCACCAAAGACTGTCATGACCTCCCTCCTATCTTTATTTTGCTTTTACATAGGCTGACAGAGCTTCAAGTTTTCTTTTAGACTGAGGTTGAAACCTAAATCCTCTGAACCTATTGGTACTTTCAGGCAGAACTAACAAGATGCAGTCTTTCTTGTACCTCATTTGTCACATTTAAATTGGGGTTCTTAGCAAAGATGATTGCAGTTATTCTGACATAACTATTATGAGCCAGTTTGTTTTCTTGCAGACTGGATTTTGAATGAAAGTTTTTAGACTATCCATGCTATTCCAGCAGCCAGATTATTTAAAGAAATTCTTTTTTAGACCAGGCTGTGGTGGTACACGCCTTTAATCCCAGCTCTCAGGGGGCAGAGGCAGGCAGATCTGCATGAGTTCAAGGCAAGTCTGGTCTATAGAGCAAGTTCCAGGACAGCCATAGCGGTTACATAGAGAAACTGGAGAGAGAGGGAGGGAGGGAGGGGAAGAAGAGGAGAAGTTCTCTTTTAGAATTTTTTTTTTTAGATTGGGCATCACTAATTTGAGGAATTTGAAAATGCCATGTGTTCACTATTGGATGGCTTAGATCAACTTTCTATTAAAGAAGGTGGAATACATAACCTTGAAAAAAGGCTGTTGCTCTTTCTACCTTGTAGAAGCCCATTCTCTCCCTTAGAACACAAGTACTATATTTCACAAAGTTGGGACGATGCTTGGACAGAAGGAGGTGGAATGTCTTTTTAAAGGCCATATTCATTTGGTTTTGAAACAAATATGGAATGTTGATGGAATGTGAAATTAAATATAGAAGTATATCTTAGAATTAATGTTATAGAAGTTGGATACTTTGGTGCATTCGAAGGTAGGGAGGGGATCCGGAGTTCAAAAATGTTTTGTATTCCATTTTTGATGATGGTACTTAGCAAAATGATCATAATTGTTACTTTTTAAATTTGTTAACAGTGGGGCCAGAGAGAGATGGTGCATGGTTAAGAATGTGTACCGTTGTTGTAGAGGACCCAAGTTCAGTTCTCAGCACCCACATCAGAGCGCTCACAACAGCCTGTAAACTCCAGCACCAGAGAGACCCAATTTCTCCACACACACCTGCACCTACATGCACATACCTACCCCACAGTCAACTGAAAAATAGATGGGAAAACTTTTTCAAGTGTTATCTGTTCTGTTTTCTTTTTGTTGTGCCCAGTAACAACTGTTCCCTTCCTTCCCACCACCTCTGTCTGTAGACTATATTCAGATGGCCAGCTTAGTTTTTTTATTTGCCTCTGTACTTTAGGTTTTCATGATTTAAGAATCTGACACTTAAATACCGTTCTTCCTCTTGTTCCCTCTGCTCTTTATCAGTCCTGGATTTCTTCCTGATATTAAACCCCTTTCTCCACTGTAGAACTTTGCATTTCTGTAGATAATTGCTTTACTCATATTTTATTGAAATTTTCCTTGCTTTAAAGAATCTTCCTATTTGAATACTGTTTCCCATTTATTCTTCATCTTGTTATGCCCTTTAATACTATTACAACTATTTTCTTGTTAGAATATAAGCCTCTTGAAGACAAGTACCTTCTTTTGTTTTCTTTTGTAGTTGGCTAGAGCAGCACCTAGCATATTGTAAAGGCTCTATTAATATTTGTTAAATAAATCAAAGAAATTATGAACAATATTTGAAATGAATCTTTAATATAGACTAGATTTATACCTTGATGAAGTTAAAGTCATTCTCAACCCCAAATTCTTTAATGAGATTTTCAGGTCTTTGGGACAAGAAAGGCATTTCTGATTTCCTGCCTTAAGACTAGCCCATGAAACCTAGGAAATAAATGGAAAAATTAGCAAGAGTTCTGGTTCATACCCACATCTCTTCCTCCTCTTTTCTCTCTCCTTTATCTTTTCCCTCTCCCCTTGTGTCTTTTCCCCCCCTCACTCCCCCCCCCCCCGCCCCCGTAATGGATGTGGGGTTATCCTGGCTGCAGATTGAGGTGTAAATGGAATGAAGATAACTGAATACATGTCTTGTTTTCACCCCAGTGGTATAGCAACAGTAACTCTGACATTGGGTGTAAGTGTCTGTAAAAACCCTAGTTCCACTCCCTAAAATATACTGTCAGTTCCAAAAGAAACTTGGGACAAATGGCTGTCTGTGGTTCCTATTAACATACCAAAAGGCACGCTGGCCTCCAGGTTCCCTCTGTATCACCAGTACCTGTTACAGAGTATGTGCGGGCACCCTGGCCTTTCTCACCCCACCCCCTACCCTAAATTTCTCCAGCTCTTATAGGCTTCCCTTCCCCCAGCTTCTCATTCTTTTGTAACCTGCTATTTCAGCTGTAGGCTCTTTTGGCTTCTTTGCCTGCACTCTCTGTGTTTGTCCGCCCCCTTACACACACCTCTCTCATGGCCAAGTCCAGTCTGTGGGCCGTGTTCAGCCCATGCCCTCTCTGCTCCATGCTCTCACTCTGGCTTCACCCTCCCTTAGATGTTCTACATAGCCATACCTTGGAGCAGTCATATCATCAGCTTCATAATCTCTGTCTCCAAAATTCCCACTCCAAGAATCCCTTTACCTAGATAGAGTTCCTTCCCTCCTGAGCTGCAGTGGGTTATAGTTAAAGGGGTAACTCTTCTAGAAGTGGGCCTGAATTGCTTAGGAATTGTCTTTTTTGTTGTTGTGGGTTTTTTTTTTTTTTTTTTTTTTTTTGGTTTTGGTTTTTCGAGACAGGGTTTCTCTGTGGCTTTGGTTCCTGTCCTGGAACTAGCTCTTGTAGACCAGGCTGGTCTCGAACTCACAGAGATCTGCCTGCCTCTGCCTCCCGAGTGCTGGGATTAAAAGCGTGCGCCACCATCATCTGGCTAGGAATTATTTGTTGACAGTAAAGTCATTGACTGTGGCTTTGTGACTCTTGGGGCTCTCTTCTCAGGGTTCTCCCCACACCCATTGGAACTAAATTGGAATAGTCATAGACTTTAAGGTTAGATTGTTTTTTCTTGTTATATTTAATATGGAGAGGGTACGTTGCACAAATACACAGAAGTATCTTGGAAGTCAAAAACAGTAAAAAAAAATTACAGAGAATACTTAGGCAAACACAGATGAAATAAAAAAAGCCTTAATAAGTTTTCTAAGAGATCTTTAAAGGTTAACAATGTGAGATAAAGGTTGCTTGAAAAGGGTCCAGTGGAATCCCAGGTGGGAAAGTACAATTAAATAAAAAATACAGTTGGTGAAATTGGGATCAAGTAACATAAAAAAGAAATTGGTTTGGGGCATGGTGGTGTAATTCCAGCACTCCAGAGGCAGAGGCAGGCAGACCTCTGAGTTCTTGTGGTCTGCAGAGTGAATTCCAGGACAGCCAAGGCTACCTATTTCGGGGAAGAGGGGAAAGAAAAGAAAAAGAAGTTGGTGAGGTCATATTTGGGGATCTTCCCTTTGAGGAAAAGAAGCATTAAAAATTAAGAAATAAGTGGAAGACTAAAGAAGTACCTTTTTCTCCCTAAGATCAGAAATAGGGCAGTGACCCTGCTTAAGCCACTTGCTAATCATCTTCTTGCTGTTTCAGAAAAAAGCCAAAGGACAGGAGTTGTTCGATCAAATTATGTATCACCTGGACTTGATTGAAAGTGACTATTTTGGCCTGAGATTCATGGATTCGGCTCAAGTAGCTGTGAGTATCTTTTGGAGGTTCTGTCGTGACTACAGAAATGGCAGTTTTCAGATCTGCCACTTTAGCTTGTGTAATTTGCTTTTAGAATATTCAGAGTTATGCAGCTATCATTATTTCAGAACACAGTGTCACCCTTGAAAGCAGCCCTGGGTATTATTACCTCTCCATCCTTGTTAGCCTTCTCCAACACTGTACTACTTCTATTCATTTTCATTTGCCGATTTTGAAAATTTGATGTAAATGATCATCTAGTTACAACCTTTCTTGTCCAAATGTTTCCAAAGTTAATATTTGTTGTATGTAAATTTTTCAGTATTTGATTCCTTCCTGTGGCTGAATAATTTGTATCACATTTTGTTTATCCAGTAATTGATGGGCATTTTGTTTGGTTCTATTTGACTGTTACGGATGCTGCTCTGCACATCTTTGTTCTTCGGGGCATATTTCAGTTTTCAGGGTTATGCACCTAGGAAGGGATCGGAGTTATCTGATGAAATTTTGGAGTGCATGAGATTGCAGTGTTCCGTAGTGGCTACACTAGTTCACATTCCCACGGCAAAGTAGAAGGGTTTCTTTCTCTCCGCCCCACATCTTCCTCAGTATTTGTTACTTTTTGTTTCTTGATAGCCATTCTATCTAGGGTGAGACAGGATCTTGATAGTAGCTTTGATTCGTCTTTTTCTAATGTGCCTAAAGAGGTTGGATTTTCAGTTATTTATTGGCTAACTGTACTTCTTCATTTGAAAAGCGTGCGTTCAATTCATTTGCTCATTTATTGTGTATTCTGTATTTTCTTAGGTGTTCAGTTTTTTATGTTCTAGATATTGATCTTCTTTGAGATAGATTCCCTACCATTCTTCAAACTCTCTCTTGACTCCGGTGATTGTTTCTTTCACTTTATAGGACTTTTAGTTTTATGTATTTAGAGTGAGTGACTGTGTGTGTGTGTGTGTGTGTGTGTGTGTGTGAACTCCATACATGTATACGTTTATACTGGCATACACATGACATGGAGTATGTATGGAATTCAGAGGATAATTTGGGAGTTGGTTCTCAAATTCCACTTTGTTGAGGTGGCATTTCTTTTGTTTCTGCCACTACATGGCAGACATACTTTGAGCTAGTTGGCTTCTGAGTTTCCAGCCCATTTTCTTGTCTCTACCTCCCATTTTCCCATAGAAGTGCTAGTATTACAGGTATAGACCCCTGCAATGGGTTTTTAAATCTGGGTTCCAGGGTTCAGACTCGGGTCCTCAGGTTTGTAGAGCAAGCACTTTTATCCCCCGAGCCAGCTCCCTAGTTCCATGCATGCTTCCAAGTACTGAGAAGTTTGCATCCATGCTCGTTAAAGAGATTCTTCCTTTTTGTTTCCTCCTCCTCCTCCTCCTCCTCCTTCTCCTCCTTCTCCTCCTTCTACTTCTTCTTTTTTCTTCTTTTTTCTGTTGAGTCTTTACCTGGTTTTATTATCATGGTACTACTGGCTTTATAGCAGAGAGGTATAAGGCATTCCTTCCCTTTCTATTTTATGCAATACTTTAAAGAACGTTGCTGTTGCTATCTTTAGAGGTAGATCTGTGTCTGTGGCCGGGCAATGGTGGCACATGCCTTTAATCCCAGTACTCAGAGGTGGAGACAGCTGGATCTCTGTGAGTTTGAGACTAACCTGCTCTACAGAGGGAGTTCCAGGACAGAGTATGTCTGGACCTGGATTTTTCTCGTCAAGAATTTCTTTACTGTGCCTTCAATATTGTTTTTAAGATGTATTTTTATTTGATGTGTATGGGTGTTTTGCCTGAATGTAGGTCTGTGCACTGTGTTTACATTGCCTACAGTGGCCAAGGCATCAGATCCCCTGTAACTAGTTATAGATAGATGTTAGTCACCATGGGAGTGCTGGCAATTGAACCCCAGTCCTCTGGAAGAGCAGTTAGTGCTCTTAACCTTTGAGCCATCCCTCCAGCCGCTCAATATTATTCTTGTTTAGTCTCTTGGTTTAATTTTGGTAGATCATGTGTCTAGGAGTTATTTTGGGTTTTATTTTTTTTCCAACTTACAAGTTTTCAAATGATCCCTCATAATCATCTGGACATCAGTAGTATTGTAATTTCTTTGTCTCTAGTTTTATAAATATAAGTTTTATTGTTATTATTATTATTGCCTGTGGATCACCAATATTATTTATCCTTCCAAAGAGTTGTCTCTGTTATGTTGATATTTTATATATTTTTTGATTACTGTTTGATTAATTTTAACTCTATCTGTATTATGTATTTCTTCTGCGTTTAGTTTTGGACTTTTTGTACTTGCGTTTTTAAGACCTTGAGTTGTTCTATTAGTTCATTGATTTCTCTAATTTCTTAATATGAACACTGTTTTAAAGATTTATTTATCTTCATTTTATGTTGTGAGTGCCTGCATTTATGCACATGCACTGCATGTACGCCTGGGTCCAGAAGAGGATCCAGCTCCGTTGGAACTGGAGTTACCTTTATGGGTGCTGGGAACTGAAGCATAGTTGTCTGGCCGAGTAGGAGCTGATGTGGCAGCTGAACAGTCTCTCTGCTCCAGCACATGCGCACTCTATTATCAGTTCCTTGCCTGTTGCTGTGATAAAATACCTTAGGAGAGCACCTTACGGAAGCTCTGCCCTCTCTGCCCTCTGCAGTGCCAGGCATGCCCGTGCTGCACATACACATATACAAGACAGAAGTGCAGAGAGTAAGTTTGTAACTTAAGAGCTATTCACATGCTGAAGTCACTTACATTCAGTCATGATTTTAGCATTTTAAAAATTTTTAACAAAGGTACCTTGGAAAATATTTTGTGATGTCTGGTTTGGGTCTTCTTTTGCTATGACTTATGACAGACTGTTCACTCTAAGGAAAGCAGTCGCTCAGGAAGGGCTAGTCAGCGTCTAGACTAAACAGAAGTGATTTTTTTCAGTTACAAATCTGCTTTTCTTAGCATTTATGTTTTTAACTTTTCTAAAATAGTTTAAAATGTTAAAAATGCCTCTGCTGACATGTTTCATGTGGAGACTGTTCTGAGAGATGGTTAACATTTTTATGCTTCAGGCTCTTTGCCCTTTGAGCAGTAGTGGTGTGTTTCTTCAGTGAGCCTGGGACGAGGGTGTGTGTGTGTGTGTGTGTGTGTGTGTGTGTGTGTGTCTGTCTGTCTGTCGGGCCTAGGATGAGGATATGTTGGGGGGGGGGGTCTGGGACAAGGGTGTGTGTGTGTGTGTGTGTGTGTGTGTGTGTGTGTGTGGCTGGAGGACCTGGGATGACGGTGTGTATGTGTCTTGATGTTTCAGAAGCTTCCTTGCTGACTCTTTGGTTTAGTTATGTCTGGTATGTATGTGATTATATTATTGCCTTTTAAGATACATGAATTAATTGTTCTTCTATAGCCACCTGCTGAGGGTGAAATACAGCTTTCTGCATTTTTTTAATATCTTAAGTTTCGCAACTAAACTTTTTAAGGTGTGAACTATTTCAATTTTACATTAAGCACCCAAGCGTCTGCATCTGCATGCCTTCCATCTTTATCTTCTTAGCAGTTTGAACATGACTCTCAGAGACTCTGATTCTAGGAAGTGCATCAGCGCCTGTCTCTGAGCTCTGAATTTTCCAGTCACTGCTCTTGGAATGTGGAGGAGATGAAAGAAAACAGACTTGAGAATCCACAAACATGAACAAGAGCAGTGACTCAGGACTCCCCCAGCTCCTACATCGCACTTTAGAATATGTTTGTTTGCTTCTCTTACTGGCGTAAGACACTAGAATCGGTAGAGAAGACTGGGATTACTGCTTGCTGCAGCACCTTCTCTGCTGGGATAACTTTGTGTTTAATGGTAGGACATGGGTAAGAGTGGGAAAGTATATTCATGAAAATTGTCTTTGGGGTTTTGTTTGTTTTTACCCTTTATTATTTTTGTTCATGCGTGTGCCTACATGTGATATGCATGTGGAATTCAAGGACAACTTGGGGGAGTTTCTTCTCTCTTCCACTGTGGTCCCAGAGGTCTAAGTCATCAGATTTTGTGGCAAGTTCTCTTTCCTGCTGAGCCATCTTAATGGTCCTGAATAGATCCAACTAGGAAAAGATTTCTGAACAACTGGGAATGATTTTATTAAGTCCTCCTTTTCCTTCTTATTTTTCCTGAAAATTTATAATTAATTGACAAGAGTGATGGAGCACACCATTAATCCCAGCACTCAGGAGACAGTGGCAAGAGGCTCTCTATAAGATGTAGGCCAGCCTGGTCTACACAGCAAGTTCCAGACCAGCCAGGGCTGCATAGTGAGATCCTGTCACAAAGCAGGAGACCAGGATAATTATAATTAGCCTGTTGATTTTTCAGTGTATTTTTAACTGTCCTTCAAATACAAGAACATGAAAGAGGAATTATTCTAGTTTGAAGGAAGCTGAGACAGAATCAAGAGCAACGGTTCGTATCTTGAGGGAATGTGTACCGTTTATAGGGGATAGATCTTGGGGGTGGAGACTGATGCCTTTATAATTTTTTTTCATGTATTTGTGGGGTAGAATGCAGGTACCCTTGGAGGCCAGAAGAGGGCACTGGATCCCCTGGGGGCTGTTGGTAACAGGTGAGCTGCCTGGCATGGGTGCTGGGAACTGAACTCGGGTTCTCTGAAAAAGAAGCATGTGCTTATAACCTGGCATATCATTACTCTAGCCTCTGTTGTTTCACTGTTACTCCCCGAGTCCATATGATTATCTATATCAAATGTTACAATAAAGGAGCTATTATTCTTAGCAATGAATTGTGTTCATAACACATAATCTTTTAAATATCTTTTGCAGTTTTATTTATTTTTTTCTTTTCTGTATATGAGTGTTTGGGCTGCATGGATGTCTGTGTACCACATGTTACAGTACCCACAAAGACCAGAAGTCATCCTATCCTCTGAAACTGATGTGCCATATGGTTGTGAGCTGCCTTGTGGGTGCTGGGAATTGAACCCAGGTCCTCTGGAAGAGTAGCTGCCAGTGCTTTTAACCACTGAGCATCTCTCCAGCCCCTCACCAGTCATGTCAGTTACTATCTTATTATTGTTACCTCAGTCTAAAAGAATATACATTGTGTGTGTGTACCTATTTGTACATTTTGATGAAACAATTTATAATACTTCACAGTGAATCCTTTAACATATAGCAGTATTGCCAGACATGGTGGCACCTGTCTTTAATTTCAGCACTCAGAAGGAAGAGGCAGAAATTCAAGACCATCCTGGTCTACAGAGTTCCAGGATAGCTGGGGCTATAGAGAGGGGCCCTATCTCAACCACCCCCCACATTCCCCCAAAATAGCAGAATCCATTTCAGATCTTTAAGTGTTTGCTTTCATTTTTTAATTGCTTCATTGTGCTTTTGTCACTTTCAAATGTTTCAGCCAGTTCATCATTGGATGGTTGTCTTATGCTTAAGGAATTGCTTGTAGGAGTGTCATAACATTAGGCCACTTCATATTTGAATAGTGGTTTCTGGGCCAAGATGAAAGCATTATTTGTTGCCCCATGTTGAAGTCATCCTAATAAATCTGTTTTCTGCCTACTAGTAGGATTTGTACAACTGAGCATTTGCCTTCTGAAATATATTTAAAAGGGGCTGGCCCACAATGTATTAAATGAATTAGCCACGTAGCCTACCCAGCTTGGAATCCAGAGGAAACATACATAGGACTGGGATGTGACTCAGCTGCAGGACCCTTGCAGGACTCTTGTCTAGCATACTTGAGGCCCTGGGTTCAGTCTCCCCCACAGCCAGACTAAGAAAACTTTGCAGTCGCTGTCTGATGTGTTTACAGAACATCTTATTCAAGGGTAGAGGGCACCCTGCTGGCAGAGTAAGAGCTCTGTAAGTTTCACTTGAGGGCTCTGAAGAAGAAGAAAGGAAAGAAGAGGCTCAGCAAATAATAGGTGAGGAGAGCAAACAGCTCCAGTGCAGTGCAGCCTTAGCATTCTTGCCTAGCAGGGTGGTTGAAACTGAGTCCATGGCTCTGTGGACTAACACAGGAGCACCCCCTTCTTTTGGTGTTTGGAGTTGAAAGTGTGCTGAAGTGAGCTCACCTATGTGAATCGTAGCTGGACCAATGCCGCCTGTCGTTGTGAGGGCCTGAGATAAGGGGTTTGTAATGAGCTGGAGCTGCTTTGTCACTGGAAACATCAGGAGTCGTTTCAGGTTTGTTTGTGTTAGGAGCATTTCCCAGTGAAGAGGCTATAGAAATTAAAAGGCTGTTTATTACTGGCTCAGAACTGTCCTGAGGACCATGCCAGGTTCTTCTAGCATCGCCACCATGAAGAAGGTAGTTCAGCAACTGGGGCTCAACCATGTGAAGGTTTCCCAGGCAGCTGCAGACTTGAAACAGTCCAAGTTTCAGAGTGATCAGCATGACCCCACTGCTCACTGGAGTATCTTCAAGTACAAATTCTTTCAGACCCCAGAAAGTCTGCCCTTTTTTGAACTTATATATCTTGAGGATTCTCAAACCACTTTTTGTGAACCAGTGAATATTTTCAAGAGAACTAAAAAGTCTGTACAAAAGCTTCTATATAACACGTGCCGTAATATATAATCCTCTGCTTGTCAGCCCTGAACATCTGCCTCTCTGAATTTTCATGGATTTCTGTTTCACAAGATTCAACTAGTTCGTATATACTGACTGTAGCATACAATGAAACAGAATTTTTTTAAAAAGACTGTTACTGTTGAAAACAGAACTGCTTGTCAAGTGTAAACATTTTTATTTGTAAATCGGAAGGACAGTGACTACTTGTTGATAGACATTGTCATGATTTTGGAAAAAAAATCTTGCTTTTTAAAACCTTCAGGCCCTTTAATGAGTACTAAATAGTCATTGTTTTGCAAAATTCTAGTAACATTTTCTCTTCTCTGTGTTAGGGTCTGCCACTGAATCTTATAAAGGAATGGAATTTTTCTCCCAAAATGTTGTCTATGTACTATTTATAATGGTACTGTCGCGCACGCAGTAGCCATCTCTAGCTGCAGCCCTCTTCTCTCTAACTGAACAGTTTCAAGAGAGCCATTTATTTGGGAACTGGGGGAATTAAGTTTATAATTTAAGCCGTGAGAGCCACCTTGAAATAGAGAATTCAGCCTGTCCCTTTGGTTTTCCCTTTGTGAAATACTGCGTAGTGTTGTCCATGAAGCTGTAGTAAGCAGTAACTTGTTAAACATTAAAGATCTACCATTTGCATAAGTACTCAATTTTATTTTTCCATTTGCAGCATTGGTTGGATGGTACAAAAAGCATCAAAAAGCAAGTAAAAAGTAAGTATTGAGAAATTATTTGTGAAATTGTGCAAATAAAATATATCAGAAACACCTTTTTAATAGTAAGAACATTAGAAAATCATGTTTTCTATGAGTCTCTTTATCATCTGCCTTTGCAGGGTGGGCTGTAGTCAGATTGGTCTCAAGCGCAGAAGCCTTCCCGGCCTCCTCGGTGCTAGGAATATTGGTGTGTTTTAATGTGCCTGGCTAGCATGGCGGCCTTCTAAACTTCATGTCATTGTAATATACCAATTCAGTGCCCAGTAGTGTGGGTTGAATATTAATCTAGACTCTCAAGAGTCTTGTAACTTGAGCTTATAGGAGAAATATTTGCAGCTCACAAACTGACTTGAATTCTTACGAAATATTTAACTTCTCTTTAGGTAATTACTTGTGTTGCTATTTTGTTGGGCTTCCCCCCTCTGTTTTTGTGTGTCTGTTTTTGTTTTGGGAAGCTCTACCTGCCCCTAAGAAACGTTTTGAGACCTTAAAGCTGTAATAGTTTTTTTTTTCCTTTGTCTTTCCAGAAATTCATGATACAGGCTATGCACAGTGGCCTAGGCTGAGAAATACATGGTAGATTTACTCTGTCCCCTTTGTCTGTGCAGTCAGCTGACATAGCCGGTCACACGCACATGTAAACCGTGTGTCTAGTGCCATCATAGGTCAGAAAAGGGCACAGAATCCCCCGGAACTGGAATTGCAAGCAATTGTGAACCACATGGGTGCTGGGAATCAAAGTCAGGTCTTTTTCAAGAGCAACAACTGCTCTTGAGTGAGCCGTCTCTCCAGCTCTTCCTTACCTCTGTTCTTTTAGAAGAGTGATGGTTCAGTGCAAGAGAGGTGGCTCAGATCGGGAGCACATGCTGGTCTTGCAGGGGACCCACCTTCAGTTCCCAGCACCTGTATTGGTGGCTCACAACTGCTTGGAGCTCCAACTCCAGGGAATCTGACACTTTCTTCTGGACTCTGTGGGCACCTGCATTCACACATGCACATAACACCCCCATACACATAATTAAAAGTAAGACTTAAGACAATGAAGTGAAGCCATTCACATGAAATAGATTATTATTGACTTGGGGAAATACCAGTGTTCGGTCCCCGCGGCCTGCTTGTCCCTGTAGTGTCAGATTTCAGGGCAGCTTAACTTTTGTCTTTATAAAGTACTGGGAAAGGACTGATGAGAATTCAGCAGTCAGTGTGTGCACTGGACTGAGTTTGAAGTGCGGGATGCTTGGCCTTGCAGTTACTTACGTTGGCATTCCTCAGCCTTCACTAAAAGTGTAGCTCAGCAGGTTTTCCGGGCTGTTTGATTGTACCATTAAGATTATGCACTTGGCCCTGAGCTATTGGAGTTAATGTAGGGCTGGCTGTCCTGGGCTGACAGGTGGATGTGGTAATGCCGTGCTCTGGTTGGCACACTTTAAAACGCCTGTGTCAGGTTCCTGCCTGGCTCTGCTGTGGAATAACGCTACAAGGATCTGTTCTTTTCCATTATACGGTGGTAACTGTCAGCCAGTTCACCGGTGAAAATTGTTAGTAAGTCAATAACACTTAAAGCTCTTTTCTTTTTTAATGGCAGTTGGATCACCCTATTGTCTTCATCTTCGGGTTAAGTTTTATTCCTCGGAACCAAACAATCTTCGTGAGGAGCTAACCCGGTAAGGCCACTACTAAGGGTTATGTCAGGGGCATTCCTAGGATTTCTCAGCTTAGCAATAAGGTCTCAGGTGAGTTTTTATATTCGAACAAGATGTTTAAAATGTCGGATTCTAGTCAAGTCAAGTAAAATAGCTCAACCCTAAAATCTCAGCACTCAAGAAACCAAGGCAGGATTACTGAATTCAAGACCAGCCTGGGCTCCATAGTGACTTTCAAGCTAGCCTAAGCTACAATGTGAGACCTTGACTTAAAATATTAAAATAAAAGTATATGATTCTTATTTGTTGTTCAAAACAAAGAGAGTTGGCTTTCATGCACCCAGCAGAGGTGACTGGTGAGTCAGTTCATGGGTTTTTTTGTTTTGTTTTGTTTTTGTTTTTATTTTGGTTTTTTTTTTAATTATGGTTTATTTAACTTTATTTTTATGTGTGAAGGTGTCAGATAACCTGCAACTGGATCTTCAGACAGTTGTGAGCTACCATGTGGGTGCTGGGAATTGAACCCAGGTCCTCTGGAAGAGCAGTCAGTGCTCTTAACCACTGAGCCATATCTCCAGCCCCTTATTTTGTTTTTTTTTTTTTGTTTTTTGTTTTTTGTTTTTTTTTTTTTTGGTTTTTCGAGACAGGGTTTCTCTGTGGTTTTGGAGCCTGTCCTGGAACTAGCTCTTGTAGACCAGGCTGGCCTCGAACTCACAGCATTCCTCCTGCCTCTGCCTTACAAGTGCTAGGATTAAAGGCGTGCTCCACCATCTCCCGGCTTGGTTCATGGATTTTAAACAGAACTGACAATGTTTTGATAAATTACAATCTTATTGACATTCACTGTGATCTGACTTTTGTTACCACCTTCACATAGGTTGGTTCCTGACTTCTTTACTTAATAAATAATACCATCAGTTAACAACAATATTAGATGCCAATTTGAGTAATTCTGGATAAAGCTTCAGGTTGTATCCATTTCTTTCTTTTATCCTGCCTTCTTACTGCAAACTCATTGCTTCTCTACACAGTCCTTGCTAAGTAACAAGGGTGAGTTGTTAGAGTATTGGGAGGATTGCTGCTGTTATCCTTACACCTCTCGTGTAGGTGAGTGTGTTGTCAGAGTTAAGGCTGGTCATAGGGATCATTTAATAAATATCTGATATTTTCTCTGCAGTGCCTCTGCTCCTCTTCTCTTACCTTCAGGTGTGCACCTTCAGGTGCACTTTCTTCCTCCTCTCAGCGCCCTTTTTCATTCATTGTTTTTCCCTTACAATTATCTTGTGGTAAAATTCTATAATTAAAAAGTTCTCTCAGGGTATGGTTGTGCATGCCTTTAATCCCAGCACTTGGCAGGCGGAGGCATGTGGATCTCTGAGTTCTGGCCATCTAGGCTGCATGGGTGAAATCCTGTCTCAAAAAAAGGGGGGGGGGTGTTCTCAAGTTAAAATGATTGTATTTTTTTTCCATAGTAGATTTGTTCTATTTGGTTATTGTGTCTTTTATTTTCCTTAGGTATCTATTTGTTCTGCAGTTAAAACAAGATATTCTCAGTGGGAAGTGAGTATTAAATTATTTAGTACATAACTACAAAATTCCTGAGTAGTAGAAACCTAAGTTAGAAAATAAGTTCAGCCCAGAGCTGGCGAGATGATGGCTCAGCAAGTAAAGGACCTGAATTTGCGCCCCCAGCACCCATGTAAAACCCAGGGGCACTGTGGCATCTTAACCCCAGTGCTGGGGCTCACTGCCCAGTCACTGTAGCCAAAAAAGTAACGAGGAAAGGAACAGAGGAAGAGTCTTGACATGGCCCTCAGGCCTTCTCATGTGCACACGTAGGCAAGTGCACTTACACATGTGCACACAAATAAGTTCAGGGCTGTGTAAAGCAAATGCTCAAAATGTAATATATATTAATGTTGTTTATCTTAAAGATTATGAAATTGACTTAGCCAATTTGTCTTTTGATCTCAGATTAGAGTGTCCCTTTGATACAGCCGTTCAGTTGGCCGCTTATAATCTGCAAGGTAAGTGGTTCTTGTGCTGGATAAGACGGGAGCATAATTCTTTTGTGTGATGCATGTCTGAGGATAAAGAATAACTTCAGAGATGGCTCGGTGGTTAAGAGCACTAATTGCTCTTCCAGAGGACCAGGGTTCGACTCCTAGCACCCACATGGCAGCTCACAACTGTCTGTAACTCCAAGATCTGACTCCCTCACACAAACACATATAGGGGAAACAACAATGCACGTAAAATAAAAATAAATAAGTTATATTTAAAAAAATTTAAGCTGAGCAGTGGTGGCACACACCTTTAATCCCAGCAGAGGCAGGTAGATCTCTGTGAGTTCGAGGCCAGCCTGGTGTACAAGAGCTAGTTTCATGATAGGCTCCAAAGCTACAGAGAAACCCGGTCTCAGGAAACCAAAATTAATTAATTAATTAACTAATTAATTAAATTTAAAAAATTGTACCCATGTTCAATTCTTGACTTCTGCTTTGATTTGTTTTAAAATACTTTTTTTATTTTTATCTTTGGACAAGATAAAAATTTTTATTTACAAATATTCTGTTTCTCTAAATGTACACAGAGGGAAATATTTGGATTAAAATAGGTTAAAAATGCAAAAAATAGAGACATTCTGATTAAAAAAAAAATCAAGGGCACTTGTAGAAGCTGTTCAAAAGCTCAAAAGTAATATGAGTTAGCTACAGGACACCAGGACATGGGGAACAGCCTCAGGACACCAGGACATAGGAAACAGCCTCAGGACACCAGGACATAGGAAATAGCCTCAGGACACCAGGACATGGGAATAGCCACAGGACACCAGGACAAGGGGAACAGCCTCAGGACACCAGGACATGGGGAACAACCTCAGGAGACCAGGACATGGGGAACAGCCTCAGGAGACCAGGACATGGGGAACAGCCTCAGGAGACCAGGGCATGGGGAACAGCCTCAGGAGACCAGGACATGGGAACAGCCACAGAAGGGGCTAGAACACATGGGGAGCAGTACATCAAACTTACTGGGTCGTCCGCTAAAATACTTTTCATTTTTAAAAAGTTTGCCAGGCAGAGGTGGCGCATGCCTTTAATCCCGGCACTTGGGAGGCAGAGGCAGGTGAATCTCAGTGAGTTTGAGGCCAACTTGGTCTACAGAGTGATTCCAAGACTGTTACACAGAGAAAATCAAAAGAAAAATAATTATTATTTTTCATTGGCTTTTCCTCTCAATTCTTTGCTCTTTTAATTTTCTTTTTTTAAATGTTTAAAATTTTATATTTATCTTATATGCATTTTATTTTATATGCATTCATGTCTGTGTGGGAGTATCTGATCCCCTGGAACTAGAGTCACACACAGTTGCCTTGTGGGTGCTGGAATCAAACCCACATCCTTTGGAAGAGCAGTCAGTGCTCTTAACCACGAAGCCATCTCTCTTGCCCAGCCCATTCTTTTTTTTTTTTTTTTAAATTTACTTTAAGTATCTAGGTATTTTGTCTGTTGTTATGTCTGTGCACCGTGTGTGTGTGCCTGGTGCCCATGAGGGCAGAAGTAGACATTGATTCCCTGAAACTAGAGTTATAGTCAGTTGTAAACTGCCAAGTGGATGCTGGGAATCAAACCCAGGCCCCCTGGGAGAGCAGCTGGTGCTCCCAACTAATGAGCTCCTGCTCTCTTTCCATCTGTAGAACTTTGAGACAATTTGCAGCCCACCTGCTAACTGAATAAATGTTGAGACTGGACCCTAAGCTGATTCTTTTCCATAAAGAGAACACAGTGACATAAGAGTAAATTACCGTGGTTGTTCATGGCTGGCTTTCTTCATGCCTGAAAAATGATTTTGTGAGGAACCCAAACATAACGTAAACAAGATCAGTCCAGTGTACATTGAAAAGTGCCTGCTGGTCACGTTGAAGTATTTTTTAATAAATGAGATAAGTGGGAAACTTACCCAAATACTTCTGTTTAAGTATTTTCCCCAAAAGTGAACATTTTAAAGGAAATCTGTAATTTGAGTCTCCCTGTTCACCCATTAAAAGAAAACATTTTTCTGGAATATCTCACTGTATACTATAATTAGAGTTATATTTAATGATGCTCAGGACTTTAGATTTTTGCCCTCTTAGTGGTTGTACATCTATTCTAAGATCAGCCATCTTTGTCACTGTGTAGATAATAAAACAATATGCACATTTTGCAGTAAACCTAATAATTTTCCTTATTTTACTTATTCATTATTAAAAAAGCATATTTTTCTGGTGATAGGAATTTTTACCTGCTTGATTTTTTTTTTTCACTGTTGTGGTCTGTCTCCGGATTAAAACTTGTTTTCTGTCTATCTGCATAATGAAGGGGAGACATTAGTTTGGAAATGCTCTCTGTATTCTGTTTGTCCCTCGTGACAGCCAATGTGCTTAAAAGTGGGGTATGTATGGGACTGGGGATTTCGCCTGCTAGGTGAGAGTTCCTGATCTGCAGATAGAGAGATACTAATCCCTGGCACCCATATGGAGATCTGGCAATTTTGTAGCTAACACAGGCAGATCCAAGAACTTGATGGCCATCTAAAACGGTGAGACACCTGGACTTAAGACAGTAAGTCAGAAAACCATCAGGGGAGACACCTGCCATCCTCTTCTGACCTCTACATGCGCAGGCTTAGGTGTGTGTCCTCGGACACTCCAGTACATACCCGCCCCCCAAACATACACACACACACACAGGATTTATACTTGTTTTTATTTAGCACATTTGGCTTACTAGTGCTCGAAGCATTAGTCTAGAGGACATAGAAACTCCAAATGAGTGGTTACCATTGGTATACATTATGCTAAAAAAAATTTCTTCACGTATCTTTAAAAGTTTTTTTAGTATTAATACTTTTGCAGCCAGGTAATGGTGGCAAACACCTTTAATCCCAGCTCTCAAGAGGCAGAGACAGGTGGATCTCTGTGGGTTCGAGGCCAGCCTAGTCTACAAGCGCTATTCCAGGACAGGCTCCAAATCTACACAGAGAAACCCTGTCTCGAAGAAAAAAAAATACTTTTACATTCCAGACAAATACTGTATCTTACACTACGATGCTATATACTGTGCATCTTGAATAGTTTTTTTTATAGCTAACAGCTAAAACTGTCTTAAGAATTACAATGTCAAAGATGTTTTTTTCTCTGTGGAAATACAGAAATATATTTCCAAAAGCTAAGCATTAGTATATGAATAAATTAGGAGAAAGGTATAATTAAAAATAGACCACCAACAATTGTGATTTATGTTGTCTTCTCTATTATCATGACAGAATATCATTACCAAGGCAATTTATAAAGGAAGCATTTAATTTGGCACTCAGAGTTACAGAAGGTTAGAGTCCTTGACTGTCATGGCAGGGAGCATGGGAACAGGCAGGCAGACATGGTGCTGGAGCAGTAGCTGTGAGCCTGCATCTGATCCACAAGTATGACGCAGAGAGGATGACTGGAAATGGCATGAGAATTTTAGACCTCAAAGCCCAACCTTACTAACACACCTCTGAAAAGGCCACTACCTAATCCTTCCCTAAAACTTCAACTCACTTTGAACCAAGCATTTAGCTGTAAGTGTATGGGAGCCATTCTCAGTGAAACCACAACGTTTGTGTGTAGCTCAAATCCTAGATGGAAACTGGATTCTTGGGGGGAGTGGTCTAATCTTTATGAGTGGCTGGCTGGTAGCTTAAACAATTTTACTAATCCTCTTATTCTTTGTTTACAAAATGTGTTTTTGCCAGGCGGTGGTGGTGCACACCTTTAATCCCAGCACTTGGGAGGCAGAGGCAGGCGGATCTTTGTGAGTTCGAGACCAGCCTGATCTACAAGTGCTAGTTCCAGGACAGGCTCCAAAACCACAGAGAAACCCTGTCTCCAAAAACAAAAACAAAATGTGTTTTTTAAAAAGGATTTTCATACAGGTTTTTTCTATGTAGCTCTGGCTGTCCTGGAACTTGCTGTGTAGACCAGCTAGCCTTGAACTCACAGAGATCCATCTGCCTCTGTCTCCAGTTGTTGCGCCTGCACTACGGGACGGTACGTGAGCCAGGAGCTATGCTGGAGATTTAAAAACATACACACAGACAGAGACACGGGGACACAGGTCATCATTGGAACAAGAATGCCAACTTTATTGTGCTCCAGGGAAGTTTATATTGGGATCCTTAACTGATAGCCACATCCCAGCTCTTGGGATTTCCAGTGTAAAACCCATCAGAATTCACTCCCCTGCCATCAGGAACTCATGAGGGTCTAGGGCTCAGAGCAGTTGCAAACACAGGAAAACAAGTTGTTTTGCTCAGTTCACTCCAGCAGGCAAAGGGTCTGAGGCAGGCAAAGAAAGTCAAGGGGCCAAGGGTCTGCACCCCCATCATGCAGTGCTGGAATTAAAGGTGTGTTCCACCACTAGGATTTTCCCAGTATTTAGAATATTAACACAGCATAACTTTGTTAACTATATTTGTAGCTGAGCTTGGCGACTATGATCTCGCTGAACATAGTCCTGAACTTGTCTCCGAGTTCAGATTTGTGCCCATTCAGACCGAAGAGATGGAGCTGGCTATTTTTGAGAAATGGAAGGAATACAGGTAACTCATAATTTGATCATACTTTTTAAACATCACCACTGTCACTATTTTGTATTTATTTTCTTTTGTTTCTGTTTTTCACTAAAATCATTTTATGCTTATTGTGTTATAATTACTATATTTTAAATTTCAGAGGTCAGACACCAGCACAAGCTGAAACCAATTATCTGAATAAAGCCAAATGGCTAGAAATGTATGGAGTTGATATGCATGTGGTCAAGGTAAACTCTATTTTTCTTCCTGGGGCTGGAAGGATGGCTCCAGTTATGAGCGTGTGGTGTTCCTGTAGAGGTTCTGCTCTGGGTCCCAGCACCGTGTGGAGCAACACACAAATACCTGAGACTCCAGCTCCACAGGATCTGATGCCCCCTGCTTGACCCTGTGTGTCCATATACATGATTTTAAAATAATAAAGTAAATCCTTTTTTAAACATTAATTCCTTTGCAGTTTTAAATATAACTGTGAATTTTGTAGTGTGAGGGAAGGCATGAGTTTGTATAAAACACCTCTGAGAATTTTTTGATAAGTGGTAGGTAGGGAAAATATGGCTGAAATAAGATATTAAAAGACTAGAATCAGCTGAGAGTGGTGGTGTACAACTTTGATCTCAGCACTGGGAAGCAGAGGCAGGGGGATCTCTGTGAGTCTGAGGCCAGCCTTGTCTACAGAGTGAGTTCCAGGACAGCCAGGAATATGTAGAGAGACCCTGTCTCCAAACACAAAAACAAAAGACTAAAATCTATAGAAAGATACATTATAAAAGAAGAGAAAACTAAAATTCTAGAAATGTATATGGATGCTTGTAAGATGTTGATTTTTAAGTTGAGAAAATCTTTACTAGCTTTTAAGGTCATCATTATTATTTGATGCTGTTTTATATCGCTTAAGCTCACTATTGAGTAGACTTTGCTAAAATAAAATAGTTCAGTAAGCAAGGTTGATACTTTGTAGCTTGAAGAGGATTATTTTTTTACTGAAAACATCTTGAATATAAATATTAGCCTGTATATAATCTTTAATGAGAAAAATCACCAGTTGTGTGAAAACTTGAAACCTGTTTCTTGTGTACAAACAGAATACATTTTATATTCTCTCCTTAAATTAGGCTAGAGATGGGAATGACTATAGCTTGGGACTAACTCCAACAGGAGTCCTTGTTTTTGAAGGAGAAACCAAAATCGGCTTGTTTTTCTGGTAAGCAGTGTGGATATCAGAAGTCCTCTTGTTTTTAATGGGTCAGAACACTTATATCGTTAATAAAAACTGTGGCAATGGAATCCTCAGCAGTTTGCAGTGAAGTTGTGTTTGCTGTTCTGCTTACTTGTCTGCAGTCTCCCCAGAGCAGATCTCAGTTCTCTAGCTCTGTGCCCCAGTAGTGTCAGGGGGTCAGTGTGTGTCCTTATGAAGCGTTCTTCCCACGGTGGCTCTCCCCACGGTGGCTCTCACTGTTAGTGTTCTCCCCATTCCTGCTGTCAGGCTGGACTCCTGCTTCCTGGCCTGTTTCTGTACTCTGAGATGGCACGCAGATTTCACAGCCCTAGAGCACTGAACTGGGAAAGTGTCTGCGTTGTTGCTTTTTTGTCACAACTAATGCAGCATTTGGCATGTGATACAGACACAGCTAAAGGTGGCCCATGTTGCTGATTTTGTAACATGCCAAGGCTGTTGGCTTGAAGCCTTCTTACCCATATCAAATTCAAATCCAGTTTACTGGTAAAATACAGTAGAAGACCCTAAACATGTATTTTCTTAAGTTTTTACTTAGGGTTACAGAATTCATTGTGTCACATTAGGGGTGTACAAAATACATATATTTCTTATTTCCTTCATATTTTTAATGTTATATGGGCAACGTCAGTTTATTAGTTGGTTGCTTTTGAAGTATGTGTTTGCCTCCCTTTAAAGACTTTGATGGGCAGTGCTGGCTGCCTTAACCTTCTTATCAGTGTTCGGACATAAGGAGACATGTCTGATATAGAAAAGGATTGTCCCCTAATCTGGCTATTGCTCTTATATTATTACAGGCCCAAGATAACCAGATTAGATTTTAAGAAGAATAAATTAACTCTGGTGGTTGTGGAAGATGACGATCAGGTAGGAACTGTGCTGTGTTACTTACTTAACAGCATTTGTACGTTAACAAATGGGGATGGACCTCAGAACAGTAACTTACCATTGCTTATACTTTGAAGTAAATTTCTTATTCAGGTCAGACCATCCTAAAAATGTCCCTTTGTGCCATTACTCTTAAAGATTATGTAAAAGCTTATCATTTATTATTTCTTTGTTGGTAATGTATCTAAGTGTGCAAAGGTTACATTAGGTGACTCTCTTCCTTACTTCTTAATAAAAGAGCTAAAAGAACAAGCCAGCTGCCTTTTATTGGAACACTTTGGAGGCAGGGACAGATGGATCTCTAAGTTCAAAACCACCCTGGTCTATATAGTGCTGGCAGTGAGGCCTTGTCTCAAAGACACAAATAAAATAAAAAATCCACCTGGTGATATTTTTTACAATAAAATATGATTTGATATTTTTTGTTAATTTTATTTTTTATTTAATTTCAATGTCCCATTTAAAATGACTTTTATGTATTTCTCTTAGCTTTTTTATCATATTCGGGCATATTTTCATGTTCCCATTCCCCTTATAATTGACTTTTTGGTTGTGCTTATATAAAATGTGATAAGCAGCAGGCAGCAGTCAAGTTCTATCATCTTTTCTGGAGTTTTGCAGGTATTTTATAAGCTCTTCCTGTTTTAAGTTTGACTTCTTTTAGTTGTTGGAGGACAGGTAAGTAGTGTGCTGCATTGTGATAGTAACCTCCTTCCACTCCTCTGTAGTTCTTGAGGATATGGAGACCTGATTGAATATAGTGGCTAGCCAGAAGAGTGGACTGTAGCTTAAGGCGAGGCCCTTAGGTGGCTGCACTGTTTTTTCTTCAGTTTTTTAATATGAGCATTAGATAGGTCACTTTTATAAAACCATCTCTGAGTTTCCTGGTGTTAGATAAATGAAATGATACGTTACCAGAAAATGGGTTTATGGGAAGCACTGCTATTCAGTCAGTACACTTTGATATTCTTTTCTTGTTACAAGTAAACCTGTACATTTATTAAACAGAAAAGGAATTTTTGTTGCTGATATAGTATGTTGCTTTTTACTTCCCAGAATGAATAAGAAACATATTCTCAGGGGAATTCACGTGCAGTTGATTGTCCCATGGAGAAGTTATTTTAATAGTGTAGTGATTAGTGGGAATGTGGAAATATATGATCTTGGCCAGTCTGCAAACAGATAGACAGTTATGCTCGTGACATCGTTTTCATAATTAAAATGATGCATAACCAAGAAAAATGGAATTGATGTGAAAGAACTTAATAATACAGTAAGTGGGTGTTATGGTACTGGTTTTGAATTTTCAAAAAGAAATTTGTATTTGAGAATTTCTTATCTTCATATAAAGTGCTTCCACCAGCTTTACCCTCATTGCCTCCTCACTAGTTCCTCCCACCCCCCTTTTTCATTTGTTTTGACAGTATTTCATTCAAACTACTGTGTCTGTTGTGTGCGGTGGCTTTAATTTTGGAAGATTTTGATTTTTTTCTCCCTTGTTTATGTTTCCTGAGATGTATTTTATAAAACAAAAGTCCAGAAGATACAAAGGTTCCGAGTTCTAGTTTGTTTTGTTTTCAATGATATTTTAGATTTCTATTTTGCTTAGTTCCTAGGAATTTACCTACCTTTGTATCTTGCTGAAGTTTGATGATTTTCAAACTTTCTGACCAAAAATCCTACATTTTGGGCCAGTGAGATGGCTCAGTGGTTAAAGGCCTTGTTTGCAGACCTAATGACCTGAGTTTGATCTTTGGGACCCTTGTGATGGAAGGCAAAACTAACTCAAGTTATCCTCTGACCTCCATGTGTGTGCCATGGCACACAGGCTGGTACACACACACACACACACACACACACACACACACACAAGTTCAAGTTATCCTCTGACCTCCATGTGTGTGCCATGGCACATAGGCTGGTACACACACAAGTTTGTTTGTTGGGTTTTTGTTTGTTTGGTTGGTTGGTTGGTTGGTTTTGTTTTTTGTTTGGTTGTTTGTTTTTTTGCCCTGGAGCTCATTCTGAGACCAGGCTGGCCTCAAACTCAGAGATCCTCCTGCCTCTGCCTCCCAAGTGGAGGTTTAAAGACGTTCACCGCCATCACCCTTGCTAAGCTTTTTCCTCCCTTTTACATCACATGGAGTTTATACCTCTAATGTCAGACCTTTAGAAGTAGAGGTAAAAGGAACAGGAGTTCAATGACTGCTTCAACTACAATGAGACTCAGTTTCAGAAAACAAATGCAAACAAGAAAACAAGTTCTCTACTCTCTAAACTGGAGGTGGAAAGCAACAAGGTGGTGATAGTTACTTGGTTTTGAGGCCAGGCTTTAAGATCACATTCATCCCCCTTTCCTCATTTCCTCCCAGGTTGACCCCCTCCCTTTTTTCATAAGAAACTATCTCTCTGTTCAAATGTTCTGATCCTCTGGCTCTTACAGTACCTCCCCCTCCTGCAATGTTCCCTAAGCTCTAAACTGTAGGGGTTATAGTGTAAATATATTAATTGGGGACTAACAGCCCATGGCCAATTTGGTCTCTCTCTGCCTTTTGACCAGATGTGTTTTTCTGTAATGGTATCTGTCTGCCTCTGAAAGCAGCTTCTTTGATGAGGGGTGAGCATCACATTTAATTGTGGATCTAAAGAAATGTATTTAGGATACAGTTTGAAAGTACACTGGTTTAGGAGTGTGGCTATAATAGGTTCTCTAGATTCCATGGCCTCACCAGCCACAGGTAGTTGGCTGAGTTTACAATGCCAGATTCCTTTTAGTAAGCAGACCTCAAGTTCATCAGTTAAGTGACCATTGGTTGCTGCCCAGATCTGAGTGCCACTCATCATTGCACCTTTAGTAATGAATGTCTTGCTGTGACTTGTAGGCATTAGAGTCAGGGCTGCTACTCACTGCTTTTCTTCCTTAGCAAGCTTTTATGGCTCCTTCCAACACTATGAGAGTAGTTTGGTTGGGTTTTCTTTTGGGGGGGGAGTTGTTTGTTTTTACTTTTGATTTTCGAGACAGGGTTCCTTTGTGCAGCAGCTCTGGCTAATCCTGGAACTTGCTGTGTAGACCAGGCTGGCCTCAAACTCAGAGATTTGTCTGCCTCCTAAGTGCTGGGACTAAAGGTGTGCACTACCATACCCATCGTAGCACTTTTTTTTTTAATGGCCTCTGGACTTTTCATGAGTGTTGTATGTGACTGTCTATATGGAAGTGTACATGGAGGTGCACATGTGTGTACATGTTTATGGGACCAGATATTAGGTGTTGATTACTTTCCACCCTGTTTTGCAACAGGGTCTCTACTAAACCTGAAGCTCACCTATTTGACAAGACTGGTTGGCCAGCACCATAGTCGCCCATCCCCCAAAAGTTTCCGAGAACAAACTAGATGCTTTTTTATTTTTTTAAGGTTTATTTTATTTTTAATTATATGTAGTGGGTGGGTGGGTGGTTAGTGCAGATGAACTTGGAGACGTGAGCTCGCCTTGAGCTAGATTTAGAGACTGCTGTGAGCTGCCTGATGTAGGTGCTGGGAATCAAACAGATGTCCTGAAAAAGCAGTGCTCTTAACCACTGAACCATGTCTCCTGAAACTTTACTATTTACCTTTCTGCGTTGATTTATTTTGACACAAGGTCTCTTGTCTAGCTGGCCTGGCGCTTACTGTGTATGTAATGCTGGCCCTGACCTAGTGGCATTTTACCTGGTTACTAGGATTACGGGCATTCGCCACATGCTTAGCTGCCTTTTGGTATTGGTACAGTTGTATTTGTATTGCAGAAATAGGAGATGTGACTTAATAAACACCACTTTGTCTTTTTTAGGGTAAAGAACAAGAGCACACCTTTGTCTTTAGACTGGATCATCCAAAGGCCTGCAAACACTTATGGAAATGTGCAGTGGAGCACCACGCCTTCTTCCGTCTCCGAGGACCTGTCCAAAAGAGTTCTCATCGATCGGGATTCATTCGACTAGGATCACGATTTAGATATAGGTTAATTCCCCTAAGTTTTCACATTACCCTCTCTTGCATACAGACCAGAAAAGTTAAAACAACACTGATTTTACTGAGACAGAAACAAAGACAGAGAAATAAAGTATGTTGCCAAAGATACTTATTGGCTAAAATTTTTAAAGAAGTAATGTTACGGTTAATAATTTCTTGACTAGACAGGAAATCAATTATTGATTTTATATATACTATTCATGCCACAATTTACATTTATTTAACAAGGTGGATTCTCCATCTGACAGGTTGTGTTCATACAGAAAATTGTATGGGGAATTAATACGAATAATACTGTTCGTAGTGATGAGGCAAGCAGGCCTGCTTTTCATCCCACCTGGCTTCTGCACGGCTAGCTTTCCACCCGAAATGACAACACACAAAATGTATTCTTTTAAACACTGCTTGGCCCATTAGTTCCAGCCTCTTATTGGCTAATTCTCACATCTTGCTTTAACCCTTATTTAGTAATCTGTGTAACACCACAAGGTGGTGGCTTACCTAACCTGTGTCCATCTCAGGTCGGAGAATCATGGTATCTGCCTCACTTCCCTTCTTCCCAGCATTCTGTTCTGTCTACTCCACCCACCTATGCTCTGACCTATCAGGCCAAGCAGTTTCTTTATTAATTAACCAATGAAAGCAACACATAGAAAGAAGGCCCACCTACATCGACTGTAGGTCTCTAGAAACCCAAAAATCAATTGCTTTCACTGACTCCTTTGCCATGAATTTGAAACGCTTCAGTTCTTGTTACGTTCAAGTAGCTGCTCAGGTTGAGTCTTGAGTGTGCCATTGGAATCAACTAAAGAAGGGATGGCCAAGCCAGTAAGGTAGCAAGTCATGCACAGATTCTTAATATAATTTCTCTTCTACCATGTCAGAAATGCTTACGCATTTTCTTCTTAGCTGGAAACCAAAGAAGTACAAGAGTAGTTTTTAAAAGCATTTCTGGAAAAAAAATTTTTGTGGAAATAATAGAAAAAGTAACTGGAGCTAGGGCTGAGGACATAGCCCATTGGTAGAGTGCTTGAAAGCATGTATAAGCCTGTAGTTCAATCCGTAGGACCACAGAAGGAGAATTAACTGGAAATCTTGTTCTGGATTACACATTTACATTGATACATGTGGATAGGAAATTAGAGAATGCATGGACATTCTCTCCTGATTTAATATGTTTGTAGGTGATATACATGCTTAGGGAGAAATCCTGTATTATTACTGTTACATAATTTACCAAAACCTGGATGATTAAAAAAAATTTTGCTAAAGAGGAAAAGTCACAACTATTGGTAGTGGTTCCCTTTTGAATGCTTTACAGGATAATCTGAGTGCAAACATCTTACTCTTCTGCCTGATTGCCTTAGATTGTCTTACTGTTGACTTGCCTCATTTATTTTAGTGGGAAAACTGAATATCAGACCACAAAAACTAACAAAGCAAGAAGATCGACCTCCTTTGAAAGAAGGCCCAGCAAGCGATACTCCCGGCGGACCCTACAGATGAAAGGTAAGTCCAGTCCTGTTCAAATCTTGTCCTTCTTTTCCAGTCTTCATGTGCTAGCACTCCTTGTGTGCTGGAGAGGACGCTGCGTGAGTCTTCTTAAGTCTTTTTAATTATTAAAACTGTTCTGTATGAGCTTCATATGCTACATTATAATGACTTCTGTAATTAACTGAGACTAATTTTAATAGTAAGCACAGTTCAGTAGATGTTCTCAGCGGTATTTTTGTTTGCTTTAGAGCAGTATTTTCTCTCTTGTCTTTCAAATCTCATGATGAAATGCCACTCCAACCCCTTGAATTTTTTTTTTTAATTTTAGCATGTAAAGAATACATTAAATTTTTTATTTGGGGGCTTGTCCATGCATGTGTGCATGCATGCTGTTTTATGAACCATGTCAGTGCCCTGGAACTGGAGTTGCAGGCAGTTGTGAGCTGTCATGTAGATGCTGAGACTTGAACCAGGTCCTTTGGCAGAGCAGCAAGTACTCTTAACTTCTGAGTCATCTCTCTAGACTGGTGAGATAAAGGCACTTTATAAATGGTTTAGTGGATAAAGGAGCTTGCCGTCAAATCTGATTAACCTGTTTAGTCCCCAAGACCTACATAATGGGGAAAAAAAACAGACTCCACAAAGTTATCTGCTGACCTACACACACACACACACATACACACATTCTGCACAGAGACACACAGTAAAACAATATAAAAATGAGTGGATGATACTGTAATTACTGTTAAATTATCAATGTCTGTCATACATAGATATTTACAAATTCATAAATATCATTTGCCACTTAAGATACTTCAACTCTGTAATGTAGCGTAAATTCTAATTGGTCTTAATAAATAAGACCCAGGGTCAGATATTAGGGGGTGAAAGCTGAGAGATCAGAGAAGCAGTGCAGCCAGCCAATAGAGAGACCTTTTACCTCTACAGACTCCTCGGACTCAAAGGGCGATCCTGTCCTCAGACTGCATCCTAGAGAGGTGGCTCAACAGTTAGGAGAGTGTGCCTCTCTTGCAAAGGACCCAAATTTGGCTCCAGCACCCACATCAAGTGGCTCAAATGTACCCGTTACTTCAACGCAAAGGGTTCTGATGCTGTCTTCTGAGGACAGGGGACCTGTGCTCTTGTGCGCATAGCCAGCATAGCCACACTCTAGTCCACATAACAAAAGTGAAATCCTGGAGAAGAAAACATGTGCAGTGTTTTATTGAAAAATACAAGAGGCTGCTGCTGGCGATGCTGGTCTGCCCTGCAGCATGGCCTCTGTGTTTTCACAGTTAGTCATGGTTTTACTGTGAATAGTACAGCAATTTGTCACGCAGGGTGAACTAATAAGATGTTATCTTTTCTCTTGTCAGCAAGCACAACAAAACCTGAAGATCTTGGGTGAGTAATTCCTTGCAATGTAGGAACTGAGACAATTTACATATTTAGATAATTTATATAGTTGCTATCATTAATTAAACATATTTGTTGGAGACCTTGCCAATTAATCAGTTTCATAGGTATCGGGAGGATAATAGGGAACAAAGAAACATTAGAAAAAATTGACATTCAGAAAAATTTAGCTGCATATAGAAGTAGAATGTTGTTCATATTGATAACATCAAAGAAGAAAGGTGGGTTTGCAGGGAAGCAATATTATTCTAGATGGGATTGCACTTGATCATGGTATACAGTTCATGCTACCATGTTACTGGATCTGGCTTCCTAGTATTTGTTGATCTGTGTGTCTGTATTCATCAGAGGTATTGGTCTGTGCTTTACTTAGACTATCCAGTTTTGGTATGAGAGCAATTCATGACCTCACAGAATAAGTTGGTAAATAATCCTTCCTCTCCTATTTTTTGAGATTTTTGTAAGGAATTGATATGAATTTCTTAACACTGATAGTATTTATTAAAACCATCTAACTTGGATTTTCTCTAGGCCACTTTTTAAATTCTTAATTCAATCACCTTTTGTAGACATATTTTTTAACCTATCTTAATTCCTAGGAATGTAGTTTGTAGTTTTCCAGTCTTGTTTCTGTAACACAATTATGCTCTACCTGATTCTAACTGATTTCTCGCTTTTTTCTTGGTCAGTCCAGCTGAGTATTTGTTAGTTTGTTAGCCTTTCGTTAATTCTTGCTCTATTATTTGTTCCTTCTTACTTAAGATTTAGTTTGCTCTGGCTACTTCTTCCTCTTCTTCTTGCTTTCCTTCTTGTTTTTTGTTACCCAGGACCTTGTGGGTGCTAGCTCCACAAAGTGCTCTACGACAGAGCTACATCCCCAAATGCTTCTTGGTTTTCTTGTTTCCTGTTTGTTTTTGAGACAGAGTCTCATTTTACAGCCCTGGCTGACCTGGAACTCACTGCTTGCCTACCAGGCCTAGCCTGTTTCTTAGTTGTTTGAAACAAGCTCTTTAGATGCCCCACACTAGCCTTAAACTTGTGGTCTTTCTGCCTGACCTTCTAAGCCCAGGCCTTCAGAAGGCTGTACCACCACACCCAACTTCTTGTTCTCTCTGTATTATCTGAAGGTGTGGCTTGGTCATTTGAGACCTTTGTTTATTTTTCAAGTTTTGAGACAAGGTCTCATTAGATGCCAAGCTTGCTGTGTACCCTGACTAAATGTGAACCTCTGATCCCGGGGCTTCAGCCTTTCTATACTGCCTGATTGGCTTGAACTAACCTCGGCTGGCAGAAGCGTCCAACTGTCAACTTCCCCTTGAGCACTATTTAATTGCATTCTGTATCTCTTGGTATGTTTCGTTTGCACTGTTTTGCTTCATCCCACATTGGGGTTTTTGTTTTTTTTTTTTTTTTTTTTTTTTTTTTTGGTTTTGGTTTTTGTTTTTTCGAGACAGGGTTTCTCTGTGGCTTTGGAGCCTGTCCTGGAACTAGCTCTGTAGACCAGGCTGGTCTCAAACTCACAGAGATTCACCTGCCTCTGCCTCCCGAGTGCTGGGATTAAAGGCGTGCGCCACCACCGCCCTCCCAGCGCCCCACATTGTTTTCTAACCCATGATTTCTCCTTAGAACTATTACTTATTTAGGAAAATATTGTTTAATTTCCCCATATGTGTGAATATTGTAAATCTGTTTTTTGTTAGAAAGTGTATTGATGGGGGCTGGAGAGATGGCTCAGTGGTTAAGAGCATTGCCTGCTCTTCCAAAGGTCCTGAGTTCAATTCCCGACAACCACATGGTGGCTCACAACCACCTGTAATGAGGTCTGGTGCCCTCTTCTGGCCTGCAGACATATACACAGACAGAATATTGTATACATAACAAATAAATAAATATTTTAAAAAAAGAAAGTGTATTGATTATTATTTCAGTCACTTTAAATGTCCCTTTAAAAGACATAATTATAATGGCTCCATTAATTTCAGTAGTATGTGTTAAAATGTTTTTCAAAAACAACTTCGGGCGGTGGTGGCACATGCCTTTAATCCCAGCACTCGGGAGGCAGAGGCAGGTGGATCTCTGAGTTCGAGGCCAGCCTGGTCTACAAGAGCTGGTTCCAGGACAGGAACCAAAGCTACAGAGAAACCCTGTCTCCAGAAAAAAAAAAAAAAGCAACTGTATATTGATGTCTTCCAGAATGCTTATTAAGCAGTCAAATTCAAAGCATACACAGCTTTAATCCCAGCACTTGGGAGGCAGAGTCCTGGATCTGGATGAGTCTGAGGCTAGCTTGGTCTACTCTTGCAAGACCTTGTCTCAAAAAAGACACAAAATAATAATAACTATTATTTTCACTTTATAATTTATAAATAAATTGTAATTCTATGTGCTATAAGTTTTCATATATTATACAAATATAATAATTATTTTAATAAAACCAGCAAACAACCTTTCTGTGGGTTGTGGGTGGGTGTCAAATCTGTCTGAATTTGAAATTCTTCAAAGAGGCTTCTTATTTTCAGATACTGAGTAGTCAACCATACCTTAAAAGAAATTTCTATTACATTTATTTATCTGTTTATTTAGTGTGTTTAAGTTTGTAGCAATGCATGTTTAGTGTGTAGTTGTGCATTAACACAGTACCATGTGGAGGTGAGAGCTACACCGTGAGGGCTCTAGGGGTGGCACTCCTGCTGACCTCTGAGTTTTCCTCTACAGTTTTCTTCACTTAGAACTGTTGGAGCCAGGTTATGATTAGTGATCCATTACAGAAACACTTTGCTGTTGTGAACAGGGACTCTTGATGCTGTTAAGACTAAAATGAATATGGAGTTATGGGGAGCCATGGGTTTCTCTTGTAAAGCTTCAGATTAAAAAGGAAGTTTTATGCCTCTCTGGGCTATCTGCTTTGGGTTGTTTGTTTTTCTTTTGAATTATTTAGAAGCTGTACTTGCAAAGAAATTGGGAAGGAATATTAGCTCTTTGTGTTTTTTAATAGTGTTGTTGTCATTGATCATATCTTGCTTTCTTGAAACAGACTAGGACATGACATTTCACCCTAAAGGTATATCATGAAAGTAGTAGAAACAGAAAGAAAATATTTAAGCAGAGACATGATGGGGAACAATTAAGTTTTTATTTGTAAAGTTAAAGTCCCTTCTCTAAGGTGTTTTGAAATTCAGATTTTTAATCAGAACATAGTGAGTATAATAAACATGGTCTCTTTTCTAGAATTGGAGTTAATTTCACTTTAATGGATATATGTCACTGTCTCTTCATTAGTGATGCTTTTCACTTTAGAAGACCACAGAAATAGGCTACTTAAGAAATGATGGCCCCTTCAGGATCCATTGCTGATGCATGAGCTGGCTTTTTGTACCCCATTCCCTGTTGTGGGATGCTTTGCTCAGCCTTGATGCAGAGGGAGGGACTTGGTCTTGCCTCAACTTAATGTGCTAGACTCTGTTGACTCCCCATGGGAGGCCTTACCTTTTCAGAGGAGTGGTTGGGGGGTGGGTTGGGGGAGGTAGGGGAACAAGGAGGAGGAGAGGGAGGGGGAACTGTGGTTGTTATATAAAATGAATAAAAAAATTATTAAAAGAAAAGAAAGAAATGATGACCCTTTGGAGGGAGGAAAGAGAAGGGAGAAGTGATTATAATTATAATCCCAAAAGTTATAAAAGGCTCACAGCTCCAAATAATCTGAGTTAGCCTGCAAAGATATATACACTTAAATGTATTACTTACACACAGACACCTACACATAAATAAATCTTAATCTTAAAGTGTGTGTATGAATACATATATAGTAGTCTTTCAGAAGTTAAATGAAGAGACAGCTTGTTCCCACTGAAGGTTGTTAATAGCTAATCATCTATAATAGTCAAGTTTGTAGTCATGTTAGTTAGATTTTCTAGATGTGCATGGATATATTTTAGATAGGCATTCTTCATATCTTTCAAAGACTACGGAATATGCTATTTGATGTTTTAATAACTTAGGGTTTTTCATGACAATGAGACATGTCTGCTCCTGGAAACACCAATCTACTTCAAGAAGAAGATGGGCATCGAAGAGGATCCTTATGGAGTTTGATAGCCATTTGGGCAAGAAACTGCTCTTGCCTGGACTATTGCATAAAATGGACACAGAGAACCCACAGAGAGAGGACTACTGAATTTGCCTAAAGGTGAGATGATCTTTCGGGGTTCCCGATTCATGAAGGAGTCTGCAAGACATTCTGCAGGACACAACAGATAGTGACTGAACTGACTTTGAATTTTCCTGCTTCATGGAAATGTCTGCTGGATACCACGGGCCTGAAGGCTGAAGATGGATGCCCCAACGGTACAGAGGAACTTTGGGTGACTGTCCAGGCAGTGAGATGTCTCTGTCATTTCTAGAGTTTGAAAGTTGCTTATTTCTTGTTTGCTTAGGTAATATTGTATCTTTCTGGAGTCTTTGATGGAGTTGAAGAATAGTTAGTTATAGTTACAGTTTTCCTTAGTCATGATAAAAGATAAAATAGATATTAATATTGTAACTGTAATTCTTACTTGATAACTGTTTTGTTATATGTAATTTTACTATGTTAAAGTGAAAGCCTTTCCTTTTTAAACAGAAAAAGGGGAAATGATGTAGGAAGGTCATATTTCTATCTGTTGCTTTCATTGGTCAATTAAAGAAAACTGCTTGGCCCTGATAGGTAGAAAATTAGGTAGGCGGAGTAAACAGAACAGAATGCTGGGAGGAAGAGGAAGTAAGCTCAGAGGCCATGCTCCCCTCTCCCGGGCAGACGCGATGGCTCCGACCCAGGATGGACGTAGGCTAGAATCTTCCCGGTAAGCGCACCTTGGGGTGTTACACACATTATTAGAAATGGGCTAGTCCAGGTGTGAGAGTTAGCCGAGAAGAGGCTAGATATAATGGGCCAAGCAATGTTTAAAAGAATACAGTTTGTATGTTGTTATTTTGGGTAAAGCTAGCCGGTGGCGGGAGCTGGGTGGCGGAACACAGCCCGCAGCTCCTATTACAACAACTAGGCACCTTTCTTTCATACAGTCTCAGGACACCTGACTTTGGACTGGCATGCATGCCCTTCACTCTTGACCTTGCCGTTCTGTTTCATGAATTGTTTTGCTCCAGTGAGCCATGGAGAACAGTGCCTTTTTTATAGTCTAACTATTTGACCTGAAACATTTCTCGACCTTTCGCTTTGCTGCTTCATAAAATGTACCAGTTTGAATAGCATGTTTGTAAATTGCTGGTGTCGGTCTCTCCTGGTGAGTTTGTACTAAAAGTACAAACTTAGTACCCTTAAGAAAGGGTAGTATTTTCAAGGATAGTTGATGTTCATGGTTACTAATACTGTGTTCTTTTTCTAAATGAAGAGGCCTTGGTATGCTGCACAAGCTAGCCCCATGATCTGAACTCAAGAGACTCTCCTTGAGCTTCCTTCTCACTGAGCAGTGGGACTGTGGGCAGGTGCTGTTGTACCTGGATGGAGGGCGAAAGCGAGCTATATATGAGCAAAGGGGGCAGTTACTGCTTGTGGTCCTTTACAAAGCCCTTCTCTAAGATGCTCTGAATATATATTTCTGATCAAATTCACAAACCAGGTGAAATGAAGTCTAGCCAGCCAGAACATGGCAAACATGGCCTTGCCCTTCTCCCCAATTCCGTCTGCCTTGCTAAAAACCTTCTAGATCAATTCTTGAAGCTAGCCATAAGGTCTGTCCCCTATTTGGTGCCTTCCTCTTTCTTAGACTGACTACCAAGGTCCAGCTAAAAAAGTATTAAAATCCAGCAATCAGATGTCCCCTTTGGCTACACTAATTAACATGCCCAATTAAAACTGAACACATCATTCTATCACAGAGTTCCCCTTCTGGTTTATAAGCCACCATTTTCCTATGTGCCACGTCTGTCTCCCTGTATCTAGAGGCAGTCCTATGTCATTGTCGTTGTCCTTGTCATGTCTCCCCCTACCTGGGACAGATATCCCTTCCTCCTCTCCCTTGTTCCTTTTCCCTTTTCTGTCTCCTGTCTTTGTCTCTTATTCCCTGTCCTTTGTCCCTCTGGGGGTGGGAAGTGGGGCAAATAGGTCTCTTTAGTGCTGAGAACTTGGTCTTGGGATATCTTGTGCTGACATAGTTCCCTTCATCAAGTGTCTTGAATTAACCTCAGTTGTCTCTTCATTGATGATGCTTTGTTTCTGTTTTTGGTACTAAACATCAAACTCAGGACCTCCTGGGTGCTAGATAAGCTTTCTACCAGTGAACTACATCCCAATCCCTACTTTTTAATTATTAAGAAATTCTAAGAAAAATAATGGTTTTTACATTTCATATGATCTAAATAGGAAGTTTTGATTGACTTAATACGGTAGTTATGAGAGATGCTTTTCTCAAGTGTAAATTGTTTTTGTTGTTACTGAAGTTATTCCTAGCTGAAAGAAATGTTTGAAAGTAACAAAAGAATCATAGACTTATTGAGGCTAACTTATGCTCCAGGTAGGCTTGAAGGGATTTAATGTGTAGACCAGGAAGTCATTTTCACCAGGATCCTACAGTCTGGGAAGAGCAAACATGACTCCTTAGAAAAAAGGGAAGAGGGAGCTGGGAATCAAATCTGGGTCTCTTGGAAATCCAGGACCCTTAATAGTCAATAATAAAGTAAAGTAATAATTGAGATTCAGTGGTTAAGACTGCTTGGCTGTTTTTCAGAGGACCCAATTTTGATTCTCAGTTCTCACATTGAGCAGCCCACAACTGCCTATAACCTCAGCCCCATGGGATCCAAGCCTTCTTTTGGCATCTTCGGGTACCCTATCCAGGTGTACACATGGATACACATACATAAATAAAAATAGAATGAATTGTTTTCTTTGTTTTTAAATGGGAGAGGTAGAGATAAAGGCATCTGCCCCAGAGCCTGATGTCCTGGGTACAGTTCTCAGGACCCGTATGGTGAAAGGAGATAACCTCTGGCCGGTTTTCCTGACCTCCGAACATGTACAAAGTAAAGGTTTAAAAAAAGAAAAAACTTTTAAAATTCTTGTTATTTTAAATAAAGGGTGTTTTGCAAATGTGTAATGTTTCTGATGAAGCTTAAATCCCATTACCATATTATCCATACTAACTAGAACAATTCTGTGTAAATTATATAAAACTGAATACTTTGAGTACAGGTTGTAAGTGAAAAGAGAATATAGAATTATTAATTTGAAAAATTAAAAAAGCACATGCCTTTAATCCCAATACTTGGGAAGCAGAAGTAGGCAGATCTCTGTGAGTTCTAGGCCAGCCTGGTCTACAGACCAAGTTTCAGATCAGCCAGGACTATGTAATGAGACCTTGTCTCAAAAAAAAAAAAAAGGAAAGGAAAAAAATTGGAAAGAAATAATAACCTAGAATTATAGTTATACATATATACATTAAAAAATAAAAGAATGTAAAATTACAGGTAAACTTTATGTATGTGTGTATACCTATGTCAGACTTACCAAATGACTCCACAATTCTGCTCTTGGATTTCATTGTCTCAATCAAAGCATGGATTAATACCTTGAAGACATCTAAGATATGTATTTACATGGGTGGACTTATAAACACAAGATGTCACTGATGTAGGTTCCATGGAAAGATTTCAAACTATGCAAACTATTTCAAGCTTTAACATGCAAGTTAGATATGTATGACTTTGTTGAACTTATTTTACATACTTTTTAAATTTTTATTTTATGTGCATTGGTGTGATTGTGTTAGATCCACTGGTACTGGAGTTACAGGCTGTGAGCTGTCACGTGGGTACTGGGAATTGAACCCATGTCCTCTGGAAGAACAACCAGTGTTCCCAACCACTGAGTCATCTCTCCAGCCCCTTGACATACTTTTTAAGGAAACAGTTTTAATCAGTTCTGTTCTATTTGGGTCTTTATGTTTGTTTGTTTGTTTGGTTAGGTTTTTTAATTTATATTGCTTTAATTTTAATTACATTGCTCTCTCCCTTTCTTCCCTCAGTCCTTTTATACAGGGTTTTTAATAGGTTTTTTTTCTTTCATTATAGTGTTCATGATACTTCAACCCAGAATAATGACTCCCAACAGGTAAGACAGTAGTAAGTTTCTAAAACACCAGAGCACATATTAATTGGATATTTGTAGTGTGTGATATTTTACAACGTTTATGCGTTTCTCACCTCCAACACTTGTCCTTGTTTTACTAAGATACTGCGAGTAAAACAGATGATTTGTAAACATTTTCTGTCTATAAATATGGGGTATCAGTACATTGTGAATGTTCATTTGTTACCTAAAATTAGTGTATTAAAATTAAACATTTGATTATATTACATTTATGTACTATATAGATGGCACTCCATTTTAATGTTGTATTTCTTGGTGTTAATATTTCTATTTGTTAGATTTTGACCATACATATAGGCAAAACAAATGCATTTTATTATTTTTCCACCAAGGCTTGGGGTGTGAGGTCTCCTGTTCCTGTGATCCCTTCCTCAACCTCTGGTCCTGTGCTGGTGGAGATAGAGAATCTTCCGCAGAATTCTGCAGCAAACCAACGCGACAGGAAATGGTTTGTTAACTTCCTAAACCAAATATTGCTTGCACAATTGTATTCTAAACTTTTAAGCTATAATCTTGAAGCACTTTAAATATGATTGAAAACAAATTATTCATATTTGTGAGCTGAAAAGGAACAGACTGAGCAGTCAGAGGGCTGGTGAGCGTTAGGTCTTGGATGAAGAAGGGGGGATGGCTGTCTTAAAGGCAGAACATAAGACTGCTGACTTTGGCTGATGTGATCTGGGAATGGCTGGTTAAAGTCTAAAAAAGAAGAAAGAAAAATATACCAGTTTGGGGAGCTCGAGAAATAATTCAGTGAAGGTAAAGCTATTTTTATAAAATGTAAACACACAGATATGAATACTTTGTGGCTTGTTGGATTTTACCAGGTGGGTTTGTGCTTTCCTAGAAAGCTGTGGCTTGGGGAGGGCTCTCTGGAAATCATTTGGGCTGAGTGGTACTATGGATATATCGTCTGTTCAAGCTTTGTGCCTATTTATTGAATGCACTAGATGATTCATGAGATTTTTCTCTTTTTCTCTTGCTCTTAGTTTGTTAATACCTGAAACCTAATGAGTTTCTGTGGTGATCTCAAGGTTTGGGTCGGCTTTCTGTGCAGCCAGCTCTTCCTTCATGGTGGTGGGTCAGCAGTGGTTGGTAGCTCTCTCTGTCTGTGCTATGTACTCTTTCCGCTGGTATCGTTGGCTTAACTAACCACAGGACGCTTTGCCTGTGATGGTTGGATATGTTTTATTTCAGTTCCAGATAATTTGCAGTTAAAATTAAGGAGGATATATTCTCCCTTGTTTTGTCCATATATGTAGGGTATGATATAGGGAATATGATATAGGGTATTTAGGTATGTATTCATATGTGCATACCAAAAGAGTAACAAATGAGGGCTACATATGAACAATTTTATTCTTTAAGATATAAGTTTTGGGGGGCTGGAGAGATGGCTCAGTGGTTAAGAGCACTGACTGCTCTTCCAAAGGACCTGGGTTCAATTCCCAGCACCCACATTGCAGCTCACAACTGTCTGAAGATCCAGTTGCAGGGGATCTGACACCTTCACACCAATGCACATAAAATAAACTATAAAAAAAATTAACAAAAAAAAGATATAAGTTTTGGGTTCTTGCTAAAGATAGCAGCCCAGCAGGCAGTTAAAATACATCTCTTTAATGTGCCACTGAGGCCGATGTCACACACAGTGAGTAACCAGACTTCAACTGTCTTAATATATGCATGTCTTTCTTTAATACCAAGCAAAAATCTGATTAGTTTTCTTCCTGTGCTATGACGCTAGGTCTTTATTGAATTCCATTTTAATGAGTACATATTTAAGTCTGCTTAATTTGATTTGTTAGACATTACCAGTTCCTTTGGTGTAGCCTTTAGAGAGAATATTGGATTTCAGTTTCAAGAAAAATGAAAAAAATTGGAGCCATGTGCCCTCTTCCTTTCTCTGGTTGTGCTGACAGCTCCTTTGCTGAAATGGAGATGACCCTGAAAACCTGATGAGCTTCAGAGTACGTCAGCAGGGCCCGGAACTGACACCCACTGGCGTGTCTTATAGCTAGTGACTCTCCAGGCTTCTGTAAAGTGCGTCCTGCCTCCCATTCTTTGTGTCTGCATGCTTAGATTTCAGAGGCCATAAAGCAGTCCTCCTTTAGAAAGTGGTCACAAAGTCTGGAAACTGACTGGGTGCCAGGACAGCCTGTGGAACATCTTACTTCTAGCAGATGGTTCGGGGCCAGTTTAAGCCTATTTCCTGTTCAGGTCTTCAAATTTTTCCCCCTTGTATCTTAAATGAAACCATTAACTAGGTGAATGATTTAATGTCAGTAACTTAGGATTTGTTAAGATATTTCATATCACTTGAATACATGAATTGTTTATTAACAAAAAGCCCGATGACACTGCTTGCAAGGCTGAGACTAGAGAGAGGCTTTGTTGAGTCCTGGGATTTGAGTCCATCCTAGCAGCAAAGTAACCTTATCTCAAAACAAATAAAGCATGCCCATAATCCCGGTGTTTGAGAAGAGGGTGCAGGTACATCATGATTCCAGGCCAGCCTGGGCAGTGTGATAACCCAACCCTATGAAAAAACAAAAATGTATAGAACTTAGGAAATCTGGTGTCTGTAAACCAGAACACAAGTCAAATTTAATTTCTATATCAAGGGGTCATGAAGTTTGCTTATGAAGTCTGATGAGCAAGTTGAATTTCAGTGAAGGAAATAAAATGATACTAATAGTTAAAAGTACACCTTCCATGTTTATTTTGAAAATTTCCTTTTTAGTTTTCCCAAGGAAAAATATTAAAAATTAAGTTAATATTTTATAGAATTTGAAAAATAATACTACTTTTTAAAAAAAATCTAGATTTTAGTTGCCTTTTGTATTTGAAACACTCATTTTCTGGTGTTGGTCATGTGAAGGATGTGCTCCCGTTGCACATCTCAAGAGTGTGGCAGGTGTTTTCTCTCTACTGGAGGACTGACTCGTGTGACTCCCTAGGCTGCACACGCCCATGCCTGTGAACTTCTGCATCTAAATCCCTGTGCTTGTGGCACTTCTGCGCTCTATCTGTGCCTGCTGCTTTCAGCTTGTGCTCCTATGAACTTTGATTACAGAAAGGACAATCATTATTGTTAATTTGGAGCACTGATATAAACTTGGTCAATGCCTAAGGGAAGGGCTTTTATTTTTAATGCTCCTGAATTTTATTTCCTGGATTATACTTTTTTAAAATCATGTAAATTTGGAGATCATTTTTATAATTGCCCTTTCCATATATGTCCTTGCCTTTCTGTAGAATTCTTTCTAATATTTGAATAAAGCTCACTTAGAATTTTTGTGCCACAAGAATTCCAAACATTTCTATGTTGGGAGTGTCCCAGCAACAGCAGGGACAGATAACAGAATGTTTTGCCCTCTTTGACTTTCCTTTACTAATTAATTCACTTAACTGATTCTAGTTATGTGTCTTTTCGTATTGGTGCTTTCCGTTACATGATCCATGTAACTGTGTGGATTTCCCCTTCTGCTATTCTTGAATATTAGCGTTGCATGGTAACTTCTCACCTTAGTGGTGCATGCTGGTCACATGGCCTTTCTCCATTACACATCCGTGTTCTCTGTTCCTGTTGACTAACTGTACTCCCACTCCTCAACCATCTAGGCTCTCTGCTACCAGTGACTGCTGTCAGCGTGGTGGAAACCAGTGGAGCACAAGGGCCTTGCCCCCACCCCAGACTGCACATAGAAACTACACTGACTTTGTTCATGAGCACAATGTGAAGAATGCAGGAGCCCACCATGATGCTCATTTTTCTGGCCGTGCAGCCATGACCGAGATATGAGCTGTTACACCTTTTAGGCCATGGGACTCTGCCATCCAGGTTGATAATGTGTTTTGTGATGTTTATAGAGGATTGATTCCATTGGGAGCATTAGAGAGAATTTATTTCATACCGAGTCACTAGTTATACAGTGCTGTAATTGACTTCTGTGGAAGGGTAGGGGATCGGAAAGAGCTGTAAGCTGTCACTGGTGATGGCAGGCATTACTACTGTGTTGAAAGGGGATGCGTACCACTGTGGCCTTGGAAAGGGTGTTCAGAATTTTAACATTTAACGCGTCACTCAGAGAATCTCTTAGGATGTTGTGTTTATGGTAAACTGTCGGTTATCATCCTCCCACATGTCATCTGAGTAGACAGAATTTAGAAAATAAGACGCAAGAAAGCACACCCAAAAGGAGCCATGATCAGTCATAGTGTCCCAGCCTTTTGTGGTGCCATAGTAATACCGTTCTCACATACTGCATTCTAAAGTGACCCATGCCTTAGTTTCCCTAAGGACCTGTGGTTGTAATAAAAATTTACTATACTTTATTTTTAATAAACATATTTTGTTACCACAGGCCTAGAAACTGCAAAAACAATATGATTCACGTAGAGATAGGACTGAATGGTTACATTACTAGCTAGTGGTTATACCAAATACAAACGGAAAGCTTTCTTTGCCTGTAACTTTTTTCTTTCTCATTGAAAATCCTTGACAAATCACCCAGGTATGTAACACCTTCCTAATCTGGCCTTATATAGCCTTAAAATAAAGTTCTGAAGTCAAAAGGGTACCATTTTGAGAGGAGTTGCATATATTTCATACTTTTAGTCTTTTTTTGAACCTTGCAATGTAGTTAATTCAAGCTTTTTGGTTTAATTCATTGGAGGCAAACCAGGTGGTAGAGTACATTTCTGATGATGGAGACACTACTGTAAAGAAGCAGTATTTCTTCTTACAGATATTTTAAATTTTGGAAAAGTTTCTGAAGTTTATGTAAGGAGAAATTTGAAAGTTTATTTTGAGAACTGTTGATACTTTTGAACTAAAAAGCTTTTTAATAAACAACCTATTGTTTACTGATCCTGCTTACCTCAGAGGTTGGCTTCGTCCTACTGGTTCTCCCTGCTGGGCAAGGAAGACAACTTCAGTAGGATTTGATAGTAGGTTCCTGATACAGATATAATGGGGCTTGTTGGTAGAAGACAAATGTGTAAACCAAAACATTTAGAGCATGAAATCTGGGCAAGTCTTGATCTGCTTTATCATCATATAAGGGGATCATTGCCTAAATTTGTTATAAATAGATATGGGATGGATGTTCAAAATATTAACAATCCTGAGTAAGAGTTAGATAGCCCAACTTTTAAGACAATCATTACAGAGGGTGCTTTAAATAGGCACTAATTGTATGACCCTTTGAGGTTTCTTTTGCTTTGTTTTGTTTGTTTGTTTCTTTTTTGCTTAGGTTATAGTTACTAAATATTCTCTATGGTGTTTGTTTTTTCTTTTTCTTTTTAAGACTTGTTTATTCTTGTTTATTTTCTGTGAATGGGTGTTTCACCTGCATGTATGTCTGTGTATCTCTGTACAACATTAGTGTGGTGCCTCTGGAGGTCAGAGGAAGTATTGGTTTGTAACGGCGTAAACGAATGCAG